TATTCAGGATAGTGATGGCATTAAATGAATCTAAAAGAGAGAAGTGTCAGAACTCTAAAATCTTCTCCTCTCATTCCCAATGAGCAGGGGCTGGTTGGGATTATTAGTATTCAAATAGTGAAAGGGAGTTTTGTAATCTTTTGTGTTTCCTAATACACATACTGGGCACTGGCTTCAGTACTGGCAGGCCTATGGTTCCTTCTAAGATTTCCATATGGTTTATATCACAGAGCTGCGCCACACAGAATTTGGCACCTTTTGCATCCTTGGAGTTTCACAGCCCCTTATGAGGCATTATCTCAATAAGCCAAAAGGAAAATAAACAAAAACTTGCAGTAAGACAGGAATTAATAGTGTATGGTATGTTATGTACTGAACCATTTGACACAGTTTTCCAGCTCCTGCATTTTTTCTGACTCTCTGCATAACAAAAATCCTTTGTCTTTCACATAGCTTCAGTAATGTAGTCAAAATGACTGCATCACGATCAATCGTAGTTTATTATGATGGGAGTGAGCTGTAGCTTCCCCAAGGATTGTGCACCAGGATCCCAAATCTATACAGGCACTTCCCCATGGCAGCTGCATGAAGTATGGAAGCTTTTGTTCCCTAACTGCAGCTTGTCTTGTGGTCCAAACCTGATCCTAATTGTGGTGTGTTTAAAAGATGCTAACTACAAAACGTTGTTTATGAAGTTGGTTTCTTTAAAAGATTGTAGGTAAAATAAACTGCAGGGTAGGGTTTAGTTAATCAAAGAGAAGCAAAACCTGCCGACAGCCACTGTGGTATAGTGGTTAGAGTGATGGATTTGACTCTGGATGGCTCAGTCAGCCATGAAGCAAACTTGATTGACTTCGGGCCTCTCAAAGACACTCAGTCTAACCTACCTCCCAAGTTTGTTGTTGTGGGGATAAAATGGAGAGAAAGAGAACCTTGTAAGTTGCTTTGAGTTAGTTGCAAGAAGAAAAAAAAGCAGGATATACATGTAATGCAATAACAACAACAAAAGCTTTTCCTTGTGGCTAAGGAAGGCATAATGTATCATATGAGTCCAAGGGAAGGCTTGGCTAAATCATGATCTGTTATAATGTCTGCATGCAACCTGGGTTAGCCTCACAGAAAGAGCAACACAGAATGAATAAGGATCTGTTTTGTTAAAACAACTTGATTAGCTGAAACATATCTGCAGATTTTCAAATGGCAGAGGTAATCAAAGTGACATTGATTTCTTTCACTGAAATATAGGTTTTGTACAGTGTAGGTTTTGTACAGGAATTTTATTGTGCAAGAGGACAATAACTGCATGTGGATTGTGAGGAAGACTATCAGCGGAGCAAACCTTTCTGTGCCAGAGAGATAGGGCAGATACAGCTTGAATGCATTTGCAATTGTAGCTTTCCCCTCTAATCCATATTTCACGTGTCCTGGTCACTTCTACCAAACATTTAAGCTGAGAAGTCGAGAGAGCACAGTGAAATTCATTTGGAGCCACCACACCCTCCCAAGCCACCAAGTTTATTTCCTACTGGTCTTTCAGGAAAATGGGAAACAGCAGTAAAAAGGGCATAAGCCCGTTTGCTCTGCTATTGATGCTCTCCTGCATTTTGAACAGCTTGCAAATTCTTACCACTATAATCAGTGTGATCCTGCTGGGCTCCCTGTCAGATGCCACAATGGGTATAATCTAGCACCTGCTTAGAACAAAACTTTGAAGTGAGCCTAGATGCCCACAGAATACAAAAAAAGGGAGGGTGGCTGCAAAAATGGGAGGGCACTTGGGAATAGCAGTGACAAGCTTTTTTTCTTCTCTCACAGCATGGGAGCCTTAGCTACAGTGACAGATCCAAGAGCCTTATTGTTCTTCCCTTTCTCCAAATGCACTCTCTGTCAGCATCAAAGAATTAAATTATATATTCCAATTTTAAATATGACTCCTCCCCCACCTTTCCCTGCTCCTAGTAGGAGAGATTCGTCTCGACAGCAGACGCCCTTCCTTTAATCTCTTGTTTTAGGACTCCTTCAGTCGTTAATGGATTAGTTAAAGCTACAGCATATTTCTCATGTTTTTATAATCAGCCCTATAAAAAGCAATGGGGAAAATGGCCCTGTTTTAATTCCATGTACAAACATCAGGTGGCTGTGAGAGGCCTTGGCTTCCTACCATGTGTACGCTCCTCAAATTGGTGCCCTCCAGATGTGCCAAGATGCCAGGGCCCTGCTAGCTGGGGAAAATGGGAGTTGTAGTTTAACACATCACGTGGGAAAGGCTGCTATATAGCTTCTTTTTAAAAGTAGGTTTTACTCTTAATTTTAATGGAGTCTATGCCAGAAAAACACATGAACAAAAGCGAATATCTTCACCCTTCCATGGTATCTGAAACAGTCCTTATAGTACACAGCTAGCCAGGGGATGCTGGGAGTTGTAGAACATTTTTCTTTGTGCCTTTATTCATTCTTCCCATCCAATCCACCCTGTTCCAAAGGCCTAAGGATCCACTTATTAACGCAATCCACTTATTAATCCATGAATCATAGGAAAGAATGCAGACGTTTCTGCTGCCCGAATGTCCATACTGGCCTCGCCCTGTCAACACTGGTCAGGGCTTCTGTGAGTCTCAAACTCTGAGGGCACCTTTTGGAAAGACTGTCCTACACCAATGCAGAATATCTTCCACCTAAAACATCCAAAGCAGTTACTTCTCTGATTAGAAATCAAGTATCTGTCTAGACCAACCCTGCCATTTTTCACCAGGTCAGAATTAGCATTTCAGGGTCACAATAAATGTTACCTTTGATATATCACATGCAACTATGCTTGAGTGGTTCCCCCCCCCCTTATTTAAAAGTAAGCAAAGGGAGCAAAATACAGGATCAAGACCCTAGTGTGGGTGAAATGGCACCAATATAGTCTAAAATCTTCATTCTTTAGGATTTGCTGCCACTTTCCAGAAGCCACAAAATTCCTAAAACCCAGCAGGGCGTTTGTTACTCTTTAAAGCAGCTCTTTGATAAATCTGCTAAAGACGAAGGGCTTTTCTAAATGAGACTTTAAACCTGCCACTTTGCCAAGTCTTCTGCTTTGCCATTCTTTACATATTTAAGAACAGCTCTTTGACACACATTTTTTCTAGGGGTGCGGCATGGGGTTGTCTGCTTTTTTATATATTCAATTGCACAACCAGAGTGGTGTGGTGGTTAGTGTTGAACTGGGGACCTGGAAGATCTGGGTTCTAGTCCCCATTCATTCATAAGTATGACTTTGGGCCAGTCACACATTCTGCCTTACCTACCTCACACGGCAGTTGTTGTGAGCATAAAATAGAGCTATATCAGCCACTGTCATGTGCGCATGCTCAGAAGGGTCCCTCATGCGCACACAAGAGGAAGAAACTTCTCATGAGAACCAGAGCGTCAGTGAAGATTTAATTTTGGTTTCAGCAGAACAAACTTTCATCCCCACTGTCACAGACGGTGAGAGTAAGATAGAGCCAGATAGTGAGGTGCTGGAACAGGGCACAGGAAGAAGACAAAACAGAGGCGCAGGAACAGGGCGATTTGGGGGTAAACTCTCAGTCTTCTGATATAGAGTGTGAGAACCGAACTGATAAGGAGCAAATGGGTTTGAGGATGCTTGTTTTCGCAGACACACATGCAGACTGGGACAGCCGGAATCCTGATTGAAGGCAACAAGAGAGAGTTCACAGCACCCCACCTCCAAGGGTGCAACCACAGAGGGTTCATAAGCAATGTATGGGCTAAAGTTCATCAGTGCAAGGGGGTAAACTTTCTATCCTGTTTCAATTTTACATGCATAGTTGTTTAGAATAAAGATGTTTGAAGTATCTGCTGGAGTGATTGCTTTCGTTGGGAAGGAGCACCAGCCACATGACAGCCACCTTGAGCTCCTCACAAGAAGAAAAAAAGGCAGTGTATAAATGCAACTTAGTAAGAAAATATCCTCTAAGTGGCACTGTGATATAGAAGAACTGTACAAATACATGAGCATGTACATTCACAGATAATACCGCAATTTCCTCTTGCTAAAGAAACAAAAAGGCATGGAAATGATTGCAAAGAACAGAAGAGGCCTTGAAAGATGATGCTGTTGCATAAAGTACTCGGAAACTATCATGAAGGGGCATCATGAGCACAGAGTAAATGCCTCATGTAAAAAGCCTGCGAGAGTTCATAGATGGTAGACGCCTCCACAGGATGAATAGCTCAGACTAGCCATTAAATATTTGCGCTGGGTTTATTTCTTCATTAGTGAGGCTTGCAACAAAATGTCGCAGGGCATAATGCTCCTGTTCAGGGTTCTGGCCAGCCAGCCATGCTCTCTTCCAGGATGCTCCATCCCACTTCATCTGACTTTCCATTTGTTCTCACTCCCCTGCACCACTCCAGCTACAGTCAGCAAACGTGCTGTGGCCGCTGAGTGTGCTCAGTTCCGACTAGGTGGGTTTTGGGGTTTCCCAAGTGGATAGGGCTTTTCTTGGTTTCTTGGGTTGTTTTGTATTTCTGTACATATGGGGGCCCTCCAAGTCCGCTGATCCCTCTTGTTCAAGGATGGTGCTGTTTTGGTTACATAAGGGTCCATATGCTGAGTATGTTATTAGTATATAGGATTCCAAAGGCTATTAAAATAAAATCATGGCCTTTTTCTTCATTATATTTGTCTTGTAGTGGTCATTGAAAACAAGGCATGGATATGTACCTCAATGTGAAAGCAGACGGGAAAGTTCCTCTCTTTCCACTGTTCCATGTATGCCTTTAAATATGAGTTGGGAATAAAATGCATGTTTTTCAGTGGTAAGTTAAATCAAGCACTTTGTGTGATCTATAGTTATATAAAGTCAGATTGTATAGGATTTGGGCCATGAGCTCTGAATCTGACTAAAGTTATTGCTGAAACGTTGGTTTGAACTCCTTCCATGTGAATTGTGCCTCTCCCTTAAAATATTAGGTTAACAGAAAATGTATCGGAGCAAATTTAAACTGTCTTAGTATATTATTCCTTCTGGTTCTAAGAGCAAATACTTCTTCAGTGTATCTGGAATTAAAAGTGAAGGAATCACTTTGTGGCATGTATGGAACAATATTCTTCGAATAGCACATCTGGCCAAATGTTTGAGTGATCTTGGTGTATTTGCACAGGCCTCAAAAAGAGATTCATAGAAATCCAGGTACGTCTGCAAAGATAAAACAAAGTTTGTTTATTGTCAATGCATTTCTCCTATTTGCAGGTTAGGTCTATAGAAAGCACATCAGCCTCTTCTCTAAGCCCAGTGCAATATTTTGCTGCAGTTCTGCCGTCCTTTCTTTGACTAGCAGACCCAACAGAGGCTGCTATTATTTCAACCCTCTGCTTTACTTCAGTTTAGAACAGGGGTAGGCAATTTATGGCTCTCTAGACAGCGTGGTCTATAGCTCCCCTAAGTCTCAGCCAGCATTTCTAGTTCTGAGGGATAATTGGAGTTGTACCCCGAAACATGTATAGGACAATATGTTGTCTGTCCTAGTTTAGAAGGGGGAAAATGAAGATTGTTCTGGATATCACAGTAATCTAATATTTCCTAGAATATGACAGGTAATAACAAGTTCCATTTTCATACATTCTGTGCAGACAAGTCTAAATCAACCTCTATTTTATTATTTTGGTTTGATCACTAACCCTAATTTAAAACTAAGCAGAGTGCCCCAGGCTGAAAAGTAAAGGGGACTCTAGGTAGTTTTTAAAAGGAAATGGATGCTTCACCCTTTCTTCTATCCCCTTTGCCTGCCACCCCCTTTTCTCCCTTGCTGCCACCCTGTTCCCCCACTTCTGGCATCCTGGTCTCTCTCCCCCCCCCCCCCGCCCCCAATTAAAAGGCTTGCATGACGGGGCACAGATCAAGTTTGCCAGAAGTCTGACTTGGTATTTGATATGTTTTTATGTCCATGCCACCCAATGGCCAAGGCTCTCTGACTGGTTTGCAACAGTTTGCAAGCAACGCCAGGGCTGCGGGGGCCCTCCTGTGCCTTCAAATGCACCGGGCAGTGTGTCACCAGCACGTGCTCCCCTCTTGCCGTACCCCAGGTTGCTGCAGCACTAGCAACAGACCAAGCAACCAGTGGCAACTTGAGACAATGGCTCAGAGTGGCCAAGCTTTGCATTGAAACAAGGGGCACACATCATTTAAAAATGCACCTTGGCCTCACCATGGCCATATGCTGCTGAAATTCAGCGGCAAATTGCCACTTGTTTTTTTGTAGCAGAAATTCAGCAGTGCTTGTTAGCTGTGCAACCTGGGGTGGGGATCTGCAGGGCATAAATGGGCCCCTTGAACCCTCACGGTTCATTAGACCATGGTTTAGACTGAACTCCAAACCAAGCTAACCTCCGCGCCATTTTGACAATGCAGAGAGATTCTCTCAACCACTATTGTAAAGTTTGGCTTTACATGATTCTTATGTAATAGAAGATACAAACTAGCCAAAATTAGGCACTTTGAACCACATTGATTTCTATTGTTGGAATAAAACCATTATCATTACTGTTTTCAACTGAATTCTGTTGCATTTAAAAGCAGTTTGATTGTTTTCTTTGGGCAGAACTTCTATTCTGTGGCACACTAAGCTCTGCCCCCCACCACACATACCCCTTCACGTCTCTAGTAATATACACATCTGGCCTGAAACCAGCATAGATCACAGCCCCGTATTTTGCGTAGACTTTTGTCCTGAATGTTTATTTTATTTCTCCAGGTACTGCAGATATCCATCCAGTTAAAATGTTGTTTGGCATGTTAAAAAAAAAGGAAAAACCTCCAAAAGGATTTTTTTTCTGTCTAAACGTGCCCTTAAAGCACTGTTCCAGCTAATGGGGAGCAGCCTAACAGGGAACAGTGGAAGGAGGTGGCATTGTGGTTGTTACAAAAGCCATCAGTTCTAGGGGTACTTTGTCTGTGCGCCCACTTCACTGTCTGCAGTCAGGCTCTGCACATTTGTATGCGCCCCGAGATTATGCCCACCCCACAGTTTGTGCCACGCTGCCAAGATTCATCCCCTGCTCAACATTCATTTTAACAAGGACACTGACTTAGGTCCTGATAGCAGATGCTACAAGATGCAACCATTACACACAAAGTTGTTAAATGTTTACCTCAAGGACCTCATCAGGTATAGCTGTCCTCCATTTTGCTGTGGAGTTGATGTGTTCGTAGGAATTCACAATCACCTCAACTGCCCTGGGGTAAGAGCAACAGGCCTGCAAAACCTGCGAATGGAAACATACCACCCATTGGGATTTCACTGGTTTCCAGAAAGGATTTGCTCTTTGAAGTTTCCCCCTTCTTGTTCACTGAGGACCTGCACATCGGATCCCCTGCCCTTCTCCAACATGGGGTGTAGCCTTTTAGATGCTAATTGGGGGCAGAACCACCCATGCTAACCAAAATGCCCCCTCAACTTTTCTTCTGTCAATCATTACATTATTCCTTTCTGGGCTTGCTGGAAGAGATTTGCACAGGAATCCCTCTAGAATTTATGTAGTAGGTGTTATATTAATGTGCATATTCCAGGCACCCAAAGATTTCAATTTTTAAGTGGTGTGAAATTTAACACCTCAAGAATGTTCTATTTAAAAAAGACCTTTTAAAAGCCATTTTTGGCTCGTGGTTCTGAAGAAAAGCTCTGCATTTACAGGCAGGTCTTCTGTTCGGGGTCTGTGACACTGGGAAGCCACCAGGGCAAAGCTTCTCCCCCAGATAATCGCTGGACCCTTGTGGCCATCCTGTGCGTCCTCTTCTTCCTTGCTATCCCACTTTTTCTAGCCACTCCATGCATGCAAGCAGCAACAAATATGAGGAAATTGAGCCACCATAGGATGGCCATTTGGGAACTGCCCCCAAAGAGGAAATGCATTACCAAAAAAGAGAACAAAAGAGGAATAGAATACCATCAGTTCTGAATATGGGAAGAGTGCAAATTTCATCTTTGGGTGGAATCTGGAATCTGTGTTCTGTGAGGGGAAGGGAGCTTCCTTGAGAGGAAGAGCTCTGCTTGAATATGGTCCAACCACCCAATTGTGAGGGATGCCCTTTCAGCTCATCCCATTCAACAGAGCCTTCTGCTTCTCAGTGTTGCATTTTCAGGGGACTGGGCAGGGGAAAATGGCTCTGGGATGGAAAGGAGATCAATCTCCACCCATGCAGTGGAAGAAGCTGAAAACTAGATCCAACCTCCCATCTTGGATGGAACCACGTGCAAATATATTTATTTAGCTATTTATTTATTTATTTAAAACATTTCTATGCCGCCCCCATCGCAACAAAGCCTCAGGGCGGCTCGCAACAAAAACATGTAGGCCTGCAAGCTTTTTTAAACTCACCTTATGGAATTGTGGAGGATATATCCTGGCAGCACCATGATTCAGAAGCAGCCGATAGCAAAGATCTGGTTGGCCACTGGGCCGCACCCCGGTCACTTTCAGCACGTACTGCAAAGGAGCGCAGCCATTGTCATCCATGAGGTTGGCTTCGGCTCCTGCCTCCAGCAGCATGTCCAGCAGCACGTGGTCACAGTTCCAGGCAGCCTTGTGGAGCGGTGTCCGGAAATCCTCATCCCGGGAATTGACGTCTGCATGGTAGTCGAGCAGCATCCTGCAGATCAGATGGTGGTCTGTGCTGTAGGTCTGCTCCCTACCATTCAGGGCCCAGTAAGCTGCACAAGCCAGAGGGGTTTCCCGGTGGGCATTGGAACTGTCCACCACAGCTCCCTGTTGCACGTAAAAGGCCACCATTTCAGGGATGCCACAGCGTGCTACTGTGTGCAAGGGGGTCTCTTCATCCTGATTGTTTGTCCTTATATTCACATCTGCGCCTGTTTGGAAAGAAAACGCAAAGAGAAAGCTGGGAAGCCTCCCTCCCTCCCTCCCTCCCTCTTCAAAGGCTTCCTAAATTCCACTAAAGGCATAATACTATAAGAGCACCTGATGAAATGGACTCTAGTCCATAATAAAATTGTTGCACTATAAGGTGACATTCTTCTGTTTTAGCTTTAATAGACTAAACCAGCGACTTTCTTTCTGGAATGTTTAAGCTGAATGTTTCTTAAATAGCTGTTGACTGAGTGGGTGTATTTTTCCTCCTAGGCCTGCTATCTGATTCTTAATCAAATTATTGTATGATCTTTAGTCAGTGGATGCTAATATTTGTATGTGAATAAAAAGTATTGTTGTGAAGCAAGGAATACCCCAACCTGGTTTGGATGGCATGCTGCTCTTTTGTTTAACCCACAACTAGCTGCAGCATTCATGGCTACCCAACTGCACATGCAAGCCAGGTTGGGGATTGCCATTTCATAGGAACACGGAAAACATGGGTTAATCTGACCATGGATTTAACCCACACCAGCTGGTTCCACATAACAGAACAAGCCCAAGTGAGACTGCATATTCAAAATAGAAGTCAAACTTTCTGCAGCTTCATCGTGTTTTAAGTAACCCAGGCTGGTCCACTGTGTTGTGTGAACAGTCCCATTTTATTTGTTGGTAGAGAATGGTATATGAATTGCAACTGGCATAATCATAGACTGGGCTTTTCCTGCTTTATGACATGAAGGAACACATCCAAGTACTTGCAAAAACATTCTTTAAAATATCCGCTGAGACCTAATCAACTGGGAAAAGCTTTTTGTCAATTAAAATAGATAAATCTGTTTCCTTCTTTACATATGAAGCAGCTCTAAGACCCAAACTACTCATTCAGCAATATTCTTAATTAGACATAATACTATGTTTTTAGGGTTAAATCTAATGTTATGGGCTTTTCCTCCTTCCTATGCATCCCAAACCTATTCCACAGGGGCAACATCCTCTAGATTTGGGGGACATGCAGGGGCTTCAGTGGGACCCAGACATTCAGGCTGCCTGCAGGGTCTATTCTGCTGGCAGAAGTCATGATTAGATGCAACACTAATTAGAACACACCAGCTGTCAACACCTTACTGCCTAAGGAAATCCAGGATACTGGGAAGATGGGATGGAGTGGATCAGGGGGAGAAATACCCGCTGTGCATGCAGAAGGCCCTGGGGTCAAATCCCATCACCTCCAGGAAGGGCTGGCAAAACTCCTGCTTAAAACCTTGGAGAACCATTGCCTGTGAGGGACAATAATCCTGGACATGGTGGACTCATGAGATGACTCGGTCTGTTCCTATGGGTTTGGCACGAATGAGGAACACCTCTAACAACAAAATTATTAGTGCAAATGGAGTGAAAGCACTTTGAGAACCTCTATGGTATAGTGCAGTGATGGAGAACCTATGCCATGCATGCCACAGTGGGCACACAGTGTTTAGAATGGGTGGAAATGTTGAACTGTGCAGAAAGAGCTACTCAAGGAAGGCTTTTTCAAAATCTCCCTCTTTTCCATGGAACTTTAGCCCTACTTTTTGGGTTGTGCACCAGGGTAGGGTTGGGCAGTGGTGGCGAACCTATGGCATGCATGCCACAGTGGGCATGCAGAGCCCTCTCTGTTGGCACGCAAGCCAAGTTGCCCCAGCAGCCAAGCATAGGATAACAGTGCACATAGGGGCCATGAGCATGCTCAGAAAGGAGTAGCGGCACCAGGGGATGATGTCACGAGCTGTGACTCATTAGCCACGACTCATCTGAGCTTTCGCATGGCCGGTCAGTACGCTGCCAAAGATATATTTATATTTGCTTGGACTGGGTGTGAGTTGTTTTTTCTAAACTAAAACCTCAGTATTCAGTTTTTATTGCAGTGTTGGCACTTTACGATAAATAAGTGGGTTTTGGTTGCAGTTGGGGCACTTGGTCTCTAAAAGGTTCCCCATCACTGGCATAGTGGATAAAGGGTTTGGCTGGGATTCAGGAGACCTGGGTTATAGTCCCCTCTCAGCCAGGAAGCTTACTGTGTGACACTGGTTCAGTCACTAACTCTCAGCCTCGCCTACCTCCCAGGGATGTTGTCTGGATAAAATAGCAAGAAGGATTGCATAAGCTGCCTCGGGTTCCTTGGAAAAGATTAAAAGGGCAGGATGTAACTATAATAAATAAATAATCAAAACAGAATAAAGCAGTGACAAAAGAAATCAAATACACCAGCAGTTACACATTAATATGGCAGAACTACAAGGATTACTCAACTGGAAGATTAAAACACCCAGGGAAAATAATAAAAATTTTCAGCAGGACTTCTCTGCAATTGGCATTTGGCAATCAAATGCCTCCACCAAAAAGGCCCTCTCTCAAGTAGCCATCCATTGCACCTCATCACGCTTCAGGGAAGAGGATGTTAACATAAACATGGGGAGAGGTGGTCATTTAGATAAGCTGGACCTAACCGTTTTATCTTTAAAGTTTAACACCAGGACTAGGCCCAGAAGCAATCTGGAAACCAGTGCAAATGGCAAAGCACTGGCATAACGGGTTCATATCATCCAGTCCCAGCTCAGTTATGTTTTGCTGCCTAATTCTGGACCAGCTGAAGTTTCTGAACCATTTTCAAAGGCACCCCCAAAATCACATTCTCCACATTATGCTCCACACAAACAGGTAAAATTCCATATAGCATGAATCATGGTCCACACATTATTTCCTGGAAAATCTACTGGTTTAATTTTTCATTTATATTTCAGTTGAAGCAACAACCCCATCTAGTGGACATTCAGTATATGTATCCCAAAATAAGAGACAAATCCGACAGTTGCACACTAATCCCTACCCGAATAGTGAATTTATGAGTCTGACCTGTTTGTTATTGTCTTCGTTATGCACCCAAATAAATAAGTTTCAAAATTAAGAACTTTATACAAATATTGTGACCCTCTACAGTACTGTGGAGGACCAGGGCTGGAAGAAAAACTGCTGGAAGACTCCAGGGGGTCTACTCCTTCCTGGAAAACAGAGAACTACATATGATAACTTAGAAGATGGTAAAACACTCTCTCTGTGCAGGTGCCCTTGAAGGTTGTTTGTGCGCTTCAGTCAGCCCAGAAGGCAGCAGCAACAGCAAGCTCTGGAAACTTCTTTCTTTCTTGGTTCATTTTCAACAGTTCCCTGTTTATGCATCTGGTGCTACAAAGGGATGGTGATGGCCCAGCCACTGTGGCTCATGCACTGCTAAACTCACAGCTGGACCACTGCAATGCAGGGCTGCCCTGAGCCTGGTTCAGACCTGTACGAAGTGCAGAATGCAGAAGTGGAGTACCCCATTCCGCACATGTCGCTCCTGCATTAAAAGAACTGCGCCATCTATTCATTCAAGGGACCAGGATTTTCTGCCCCATTTGATGCCCAACTGGCCTTTCAGATCTTCAGAGCAGGCCTCGTTGGTCAGCGGAATGTTGCCAGATGACATCTCAGAAGTGGGTCTCCTCAGCATTGGTTCCCACCCAGGTGCCAAAAATTTTTTTTATCATTTTCAATCATAAAGAAAGAAAAAATAATTTTAAGAAAGAAATTCAATGAAGAAGAAAATTTCAGAGCCATTATCATGAGTGTGGATTAGGATTCCTGAGTGTGTGTTGATCCTGAGGTGTCCATGGAATGTGTCTGACTGCCCTGGCTTTGACGGTCACCCTCTTTCTCATCACTGCTACGGCTTGCTTGCTGGACCAGAGAGAGCCAGTGAAAAAACCGGCCAGGGCATCTTCTGCTCCAGCTTGTCACCACCTCTGCAGTCTGGACCAGTGTAAGAAGCCACGTTACAGAGCTAAAAAAGGGGAGCAACTCCAGCAGGATCTTGCCAGTGGGCCTCTGCTGGAGTGTAGGCTATCCCCATGTGCCGAACCTTATCTTCTTGGCCTTGATCATACACTATAAAGCAAGTCAGGCAAAACGCAGTACTCTCCAACTGGCAACCAGCTCTGCATTTGCTGCAATGCCAATTGTGATTGTTATTCTCCTAAAACTGAACTACATATTAAACGTAGCAAGTATTCTGGTCCTAAGATAATGACAGCTATGACACAAGAATGTATAATTTACACCAGTCTTCCCCAACTTGGTGCCCTAAGCTGTTTTGAGTTCCCATCAGCCCCGGCCAACATAACCAATCACCAGGAAGTCTGGGAGTTGTACTTCAAAACATTAGGAGGATACCAAGTTGGGGAAGGCTGATTTGTTGTTGTTGTTGTTGTTGATGATGATGATGATGATATTTCTATACTGCCCAATAGTGGAAGTTCTCTGAGTGTTTACAGTAGCAGATAAAACACAGTAAAAGTATTCTTTTCTTACACAAAGGAAGTATACTTCTTATTTCAGAATGATTAGGTTTATGCATTTGCAAATTTAAATAGATAATCAATTCAATGATTGATTCATTTGTTTTTAATCAATGAGCCAAAAGAGGTTTCTTTAAACATTCTCTTCAGTTTCCTCTGTACCTAAAGGTCCCTGTTTCTAAATCTGTCCTTTCAAGGTAGCTCAGAAATTGCTTCAGGATGAGTTCTTAGTCTACAAAGTAATTCTCCATAAAGAAAGTAGGTCACTGAGAATGTGCCATTTCAGCTTGCACTGCATTTTGCAAGAGTACTTTGGACTTTTCTATGATTCCTTATGGTCGCAATCATAATCCTGCTGTCAACTTCATTAGCTTCATGGGGAATAAGAATGGCATCATTAACTTTCCTTCGTAACACATGTAATAATGTGCATCTTTCAGCAGAAGAATCCTAGCATTGTTCTAGCATATGAATTAATAATTTTAAATCCATTCAGTCTTCCCACCAACCCTGTGCCCTCCATCACCACCAAATAAGCTTAACTTTAAACGTTTTGATCATTTGTGTGTATGTTGCGGTTGCACAGAATCCCCTGTACTTGCAAAGGAATGATGGACCAGTGCACTAATATTTAGATATGGCGGGTTATTTCCTCATCTGTGCAGGCAGGGGAATTAGTATAATTATTGCCATGGATAACAAGCCACACAGAACTCATGGGCTGTTTTGGGTAGCAAGCTCCCCAAACCCTTCTAGGCATGTTGTAAACTTAGTGTTTCGGTCTTTATATTACTATATTCCCATGTTCCTTGTTTTGTGTTGCATGTTATTCTTTTAACTTTATGTATTGCATTTTATTCTTCCAGATGTTTGTAATCTATCCAGAGAATGTGCCTTAGTAGGCAGATCAAAAATCAATTGATCAATCAATCTGGAAATGCAGGGCAGATTGGTTGGGGATTTGTTGTATCTCTTCTGTTTTGAAAGCTAAGTTATAAGGAAGAATGGAGAGGCAATGTCTCTCTGCCACATTACTTTTCCATGTGTAAAGGTGTGCTGTTTCTTTCCCTTTCACCAGGAGTGTTCATTCAATTCTATCCTCTGTGGTTTAAAGTCAAACAATACAGAATGATCCATTTCACATGACAAGCCAGGCTCAGTGTGGATTATTTAACCCATGATGAGCCACAGTGCATGAAGTTGCAGCCTCTCATACGAACCCAACCATCAAGGATTATGTGTGAGTTAATCAACCTTTGCCTGCTCCTCAGCACATGTCACCCCGAAGGGATTGCAGCATCTTGTGAAAATCAACCCTTTGCCTGTAGCAGAACTCACCTTTCCAAATTAACTGTTGCGCACAAGGCACAGACAGCTTTGTGGTACAAAAATGCAGTGGTGCAAGGCCGCTTAGTGAATAGCAGTTGGTTTTTGCTCCATGACTGCAAAGTATCTTGACACAATCCAGATTGGCTATTTCACAGGCAATGTGGATAGCTGCTTTCCCATTTGGTCTGCAGTTGATCGTTGCCTTGTGCTTCAACAGGACCCGTAGGCTCTCCAGGTGGCCATACATGACAGATAAGTGTAGTCCAGTTGCCCAAGAATGTTGCAATTTATAACTAGGCAGCCAATACCCTGATTTAAAAAGAAGAGGTGTGCATGAAGTGTGAAGGAGAAGGAGAAGAAGGGTTTCATTTCTATGGCACTCAATAGAACTCAACAATTCTCTGGATGATTTATAACAATTCCTGAAACAGCCGCAGTAAAAAAAAAAAAAAAAAAATCATAAAATAATTCCAAGTACAAAACTTAAAATTTTAAAAATTACAACTAAGAAGAAAAAATTTTTGTGGATTTATTAAGAAGGGTGTATAATGGAGTTTATATATTTCTTGTTTTTCTTTGAAATTGAAAATATTTTCCAGATGTAGACCTTTTCCTCACCCGAATTCCTACTCAGAAAAGATTGCTTGACTGATGTGCAGTGCCAGTCCAAGTCAATGTACTGCTTATGAAGCAGAATCAAGATGACATCTCTGTCCAGTGCTGTCTCCAGTTTTTGAGGGCACTTGGGCAAGTCATCCTCACTGGGCCACCTCCATCAGGGAGTTCCTCTGCACTGGCATTGTCAAATCACTCATTGCCACAGCTCCTCATCCTCCTTCCCATCACAAGCGCCACTTGCCTGCTCTCCTGCAGAGACCCGGTGCACAAGTAGGCCATGGCATCTCCTGCTGCTATTTCCCACCTTTGCCATTGTCTGAACCAGACAGAGAGGAAGGTGAACAAGCAGATTGCAATATATGAAAAGGAGGAGCCAATCCAGGTGTCTCTTGTCAATGGGTCCCTACTGAGGGTGGGCCTTTGGGAGATGCCCAACCATGGCCAACCTTGGCACCAGCTGCTCCAAATTGCTGCCTTTATCCACTCACCCATGCCAGGCCACCTGAATCCAGTCAGTTTACTTTGTTGCTTTGTGCACCTGGCCCTGCTCAGGTGCCTGAACTTGAGTGATCAATCAGCTATTTATTAATGAGATTATTTACTCCCTCTTATTTCTGGGATTCAGCATGATCTATAGATATTGGTACCAAGAGAGGGGGGCAGAAATCTCTGTTCTGTAGGGACAGAACATGCTCAATCCACATGTATAAAAGCAGAGAATAATTGTAGAGGCCAAATGTTTAAATTATGCCAGTGGAAGTTGGGGGCACCTGTGCCAGCCAGGTGACTTATCTGCTCTGGATTTTACTGTGAACTTTAAAGAAGCTATCCATGAAGTGGAACTCTAGCCCTCAATAGGTTCAGCACCACAGAGAGCTCCTTTAGAGATAGAGTCCAATCCACTGACCTTGGCTGCACCAGCCCCTGCTAAATTATTCTAAAATGGAGTTGCTGTCCATGCATTACAAAAGGGGAGATTGATTCCCTAAGAACAGAAGTCAAAAGATGATGCCAAATGTTTATTTTAATTGTTCGTTTTAATTAATTTCTATAATTTAAATAGAAACATCATGTACCTGCTCGGTTTGCTGTCCAGGTGCAAATTGTTGATGGACAATGTCAAGGCCACTGCCCATTCCCTCTTCTAAGGATTCTTTAACTTAACTGGGCTTGGACTGGATAGTCTATCAAATAGAGGACTCCTTCAAATAGATGACTGTCCTCTATCAGCTCTCCAAGATAGAAGACTGTCCTCCACGAGGCAGGAAACCTGGCCACCTTTGCTCTGACTTCTCCTGCACCTTGTCCAGAACTCTGGGGGCCAAGAAATCCTCCAGTTCAGGACATGTGGAACCCCATGTTGCCATTTCATCTGGACTGGGAATTGCTGGGGCCTTCCTGTCTGCTAGTGAAATGGTGTTTTGCTTATGCAATAGATTCTCTGTGTTTTGTACTCACAAACTGTTGAAATGTTTATACAGTCTGAAGATTCAAACCATATTGGCAGATTGAGGTGTGTTTTGATTGTCTTATAATGCATTTCTATACATGTTTACTCAGAAGATAAACAACTGTGTTCACCAAGGTGAATTACATCCTCAAAATTACATTTTTGAGATTGATCTTGTTTTCTAGTTTTGTTTCCTTGCATGGTTTTCTCTTTAAACGTTGAATAATGGCAGCATATGCCCTAATAATTGCAGGATCACTGGAGTACAGTCACAGAAGTAAAATCATCATCAAGTGTTCTGTTACTGGAAAACTTCCCTCACAGACAGGTATGTCCATTTTTGGTTTTTGCAAGGTAACAAGGACCTGGTTCTACTCATAGGTCTTGTTCATCTGCAGATGGGTAAGGCGCTCAGGATCGCCACTGATTAACAGGAGCATTGACACAAGAATCCTCTCCACCCCCAGATTGTACTGCTGACCAGGGCTGGCCTAAGGTATTTTGCTTCCTGAGGAGGAGGAACAAATGGCATCCACACACCCACCCAAGTAAAGTAGCCAAGACCAAGCAGAGTATTTTGGAATCTGAGGCAGCAATCCCACAAGCAACTCTTTCCATCCCTCGCAGTAAAAGTACAGCAACAACACAGTAAATAAACCAAAAATTATCTGCCCTTTCACCTACAGTCTCTGGTGGCCACCTCATTCTGTCTAGTGTTGGGGCAACCAAGGGCATATATTTGTGTGTATTTGTGCAAGGGCGAATGTGAATTTCAATCCATTCTGGATGCAGAGCAAATTCATAGGCTCAGAATTTTGTACTTCTTCTCTATATATTCCTTTTGCCTCTGGACCTAGTTAGTGGGTCTCAGGATACAACTAAAACCCAAAGTAAACCCCTACGTTGGCCCACTCCTGAAGTAATGCAAGAAATAATAAAGTGGTTTTGCTATATTTAGAGATTGCTTATATTTAGAGGGTCACGTGTGTTTGGGACTTCAACTGAGGCCGGGCAGAGGTGTGAGGTCTGAACAAACGGTATACATTTACAAATGTAGTGCACATTTCTTATAGGATCCCAGCCAGTGAGAACAATGGCCCTTTTTCCTATGCTGACTGCTTTACAGGGAAAATTTACTCACACATGAGAGCATGCCAGGTAATCATACTGAAAGGGCTACCTTCAATTCCTGCCCAAATTTACTCCTGAACTAAGATTTTAAATGCAACCTAGAGCACAATTCCGTGCTGAGAGTTTAAGGATGGGGGCTGGGAAGCAAAGCAAGGGCACATACATAAGGAGATTATTTTTTTGGGTGGCTGACAACTAACTACTGCACTCTAATTTTTAAATATATTTCAAACACAAATAGGCGGAAAAACAATTAGCTACATGGGGTCGGATTTCCAGCATGTCAGGATGTTGCCTGTATTCACATTTCTGATGCCTTGCTATTTTTTCACTCTCCCTCCTCTTATAGAAGCGACTCTGTACCAAACATATTGATTGGTGAATCAGCCTCCGATCTGTAAGGTTAGATAATACAATACTTCCTCCAAAGTTGAAATACTAGTAAACTACCAATAGCCAATTCACTTCACAAGCTAAAATGTTGGTGTTGGTTTTTTTACCTTGCTTGTAGGAAGCCAAGAGCAGATTCTCATCTTCCACTTCAAACACGGTGTCCACATCTACTTGCTTTTGAAGCAAAAACTCCTCTAGAGTTCTATAATCATTGGACTGCAGAGCTTTCAAAAAGGCTTTTTTCATTAACTTGGCAGTTGTGGTCCGTGTAATTGTTTCTCCCATTTTCTCCTTGTGGGATTAGATCACGCTTGTTTTCAATTGCCAAATGTGTATGTTTATAGTCAGCATAAAGGGGTGTTCTAATTTCTCTAAAGTGCATTAGCGTGCAAACCCGAAGATAATTTTAACACTAGGTAATGCTGATCTGCTTGTTCTATTTATATAAAGGAAATATCAGCCACTCAGTAGAGACTCAGTTCTGGCAAAGGGAATCCAGCCAGATGAAGGATGTCAGTATAAAGAAAACATCTCAAAGGATTAGTCCATACTATCGACTCATTCATCAACACTTTATCCTGTGCAAATATGTTTAGCTTAACTTCCAAGTTAACGCTAAGGTGAACTGAAGGCTGTTGTCATTTCTTGAAAAAGCAATAACCACCTTCACTGCTGGAAACCTATCTTTCTGGCCTGGCTTTGCCACTGAGGACTTCTCAGCATTTTGACACAAGCTGGAATTTTCCATTTTTACAGCATATTTGTTCTGTCTCTTCCTAGACATCTCCGTCACACTATTAGCCTACCTGTGCAAGATAGGGACCTGTAAGTTCTGCCAGTTAAAGGATACTATGCACTTATTCAATTTTTCCTTATTTAACTAAATCTCTTTGGAAGAAAAAAGGAGTGTGGTGGTAGCAGTTTATAAGCAGAAAATGCTGATGACGCCTGGATGGAAAAGGTGGAAAAGCTGTGGAAAAGCCTTTCGGGGGACCCTGCCTGGGGAAGGCCTCCCTCTGCTTTCTCAGCCAGAGCAGTTCTTTCTTTGGGACAGGCTCTGGAGGCCTTCTGAGGACAGGCAAGGGCAGGACGCCACCAGACTCCAGCCCATCCTCTTTGTGAGGTGCAAGAAAACATAGAGATGGCTCCCTGTTTTGAGAGCACTGGATTCTGCAGCCTTCCTGAATTTGACTGGATGCACTTCAGAAGGCAATGGGTTGCGCCATAAATACATATACAGTGTCGTATTTATTATAGATTCTGCTGATGAGGCATTTATCATGCCATTGCCTTGCCACAATTAGATGTGCTAGATAAATGACATGATCACATGTGGAACATACAGGACAGAGAAGGACTGGCATACAGCGTAAAGAAAAATATGCATTTGTATACAAAGGACACACATCCAGAAGCTGTTATGCGCCAACAAGTTGTCTTCGATTTATAGCAACCCCATAAATGAAAGCCCTCCAAAATGTCCTATCCATGACATCCCTGCTTAACTGTTCTAAATTCAAAGGCCTCTTCTTCTACCTTTGAAGTTGTCCTGTTGTAGATATGGATATATTAGCTCTACTTTAAAATATGACATAATCAATTCCTGCCTACCTGACATCAGACATGAAGAATCAGCAGCAATACAGGCCAAATCTTTACACCTGTGGTGTTCTGGTCAGAACATTTCTACAGAGAACCCATACTTGGAACGCGTCTTGAAAAACACAACAGCGGCCTGGTGGAGCTGTGCTGGCATACAATAATAAAGCAATGGGAAGAATTCTGAACTCTCCCTAAGCACTCCTCCGCTCCCCTGGTGCTGAGCCATATTGTATCAAGCAGCTGCTGTGGGCGTATTCTGTTTTTGGAAATGAGCCCAGCAGGTTCTGAACTCCTGAAATCTTTTAAGAAATGAAAATGTGCAGAAGGTACAGCAATTCAAATTGAGTTTTAGAAGAGCAATTTAGTATGGAGTGATGTTTGCCAGATGCCCAACTAATCAGCCACTGTATGTATGCAACCCTATGTAAATTTGGAGAGATGGTGCCCTAAGCACAGCTCAGCACAACCTGAAGCTCAGACTACAAGCGTATGTGTTGTTCCTTCACTCTTTCCACCCTGATATTTCATTTTTTTTAAAGTTCCCACCAGTGTTTGAATACTGGTGAGAAGTAGCACCTTACTTTCCCCACTGCTGATTTACACTTGCTAAAAGAGGAAGAGAAAATAGAATATCTGAAATTAAATGCACATGACTGACATCATGCGTAGTTAGAGCCTAAGATGCTGAGAAAACCAGCAGTCCTAATGGGAGATGATACTACACGCTTCAGGAAGAGGGAGCATCGGTGTGATGTGAGCATTATAAAACATCCCATGGATTATCCATGGATTATCAGAATGGCAGTCATAATTGTTGGAGAGGCAACAACACTGGGTAAGAACAAGCAATGCATTACTGTCTGAACATGGAATTCAGCAATGCAGAGCCTGCTGTCAACTGAGGTTCTGCATCAAGTCTGAAGAACTTCCTCAGCTTTCTCTGGGAGGCAGGCCTTGGCCTCCAGTCCCCACCCCACAGAAGCCTCTCCACTGCACCTTGTCTTCTTCGACAGTAGTTGGAGCTGGAATCTAGCATCTCAATAAATTAAAGAAATTGGATTCTCTTTTTTTCTAATTTGAACAACTTTCTGCTTAATTTCCTGTTTTCTGTTTTTTTCCCCTGCAGTAGATTGTTCTGTCTATAACTTGCAGTCATGTCCTGCAAATAAGGATTTCTAGGATGAAGTACTGCTGTGTGCAGGGCTGATGGAGCATCTCAGCAGTGAATGACCATGTGTGGGCACAGCGTGAAGATGGGTTTGCTATGCTCCCCACGGGTCTGAGTGCATTCAGTGAAGGCCACACTAGAGGGGATGACAGGCAGAGATAGCTTTGCAGGCTGCCTTGGGTTCCTCACAGCAAGAAGGAAAGTGGAATTGAATGCAATATACTAATATGCAGTTGAATCTCCCAAGTCTTTGGAAATGACAGCCATGCAGGGGACTGGGATGCAATCCGGATTGCAACTGCAGTGCTGAGGGAGGGAGGGAGGGAGGGATCATCCTTTCCCTCTGCAGTGTTTCCCTTGCAAAAATTGCTTCTGAAATGGCTAATTGCCCCTTTCAAGAAAACCCAGGTCAGTGTACATGGGGATGGAGGCGGGGGGGGGGTAACCTGTTTCTCCCACCACCAGTCATTTCCCGTTGCCAGCTCAGAGGCCCCGCAGCTGGTATTTGCCAAAACATTAAGAGCTGGGATATCTGATCTTTAAAGTCCATTATCTTGCCTGATTGTTCCTGAATCCTGTTTTCTGCCCATGTAGACACACGTATCATTTTATGGTACTCTGCTTTATATCCTGCTGTCAAAAGAAACCTGGTTTATGGGAACATGAGACAGCCTTTTCTTTAGGATACCTAACTCTGGGAATTCCCTTCTAGTACAGGTTGTCTTTATTCCACCTTTCATTGGCAGCCACTAAAAACATTTTATACTGCTGAAGTTTCGATGGCTTTTCATTATGTTACTGGCATTTCTAAGTCCCTTCTTTCTTTTTGGTGATTTAACCCCTTGTTTAAAAGCTTGCATTCTATTTCAGTGATTTTGTTTTAAATGCACTGTAAACTGTTTTGAGGCTCCTCTGACACCAATGCTGCATCAGGTTAAGACTGCCCTCTGCTCCCAGGCATTTGTTTGCAAATTGTGGGCATTTATGTCAGCTGTCTTTTAGCCCTTCTAGTATTTTACTAAATTTGTTTTATCTGTTTAAAGGGGCCATCTGATATAGTTGCTGGCAGCCTCCAGTCACTGAGAACTCCATGCGTCCAGTGGAAGGCAAGGGGAGTGCGGAAGCAAAGGCTGCCTGTGCACTTCCCTCACCCTCCAAAACACTCGGGCATCCCTCTAAGAGCTGTCCCTGTCGCAAGGAGGGAGAGCAGAGGCACTGCCACAATTCCTTCTGTCCTGGCAGTGTCTTGCTCAGCTCCCCATTTATAGGCCAGCTATAACTGCCGAGGCCTTGCTAGGTGGCTCCCACCTTTGGAAAAACTGGCTGTGAGGCTGCAGGGTGGGTCTGCTAAGTCTGGAGGCCCCCTCCAACCGCTGAGTGCCTTTCTGAGGTTGGAGCCCAGGTTCCAAATCTGTGTATAGCTTTCTGGAGAGTCTCTAGCAGCCCAGGGATGGCACCTTAAATTTTCTACACTGAAAATTGTATCTTATTATCTGCATCTGTGGTTTATAATTTTATGAATAGGTGTGAATACCTAGAAAGCTTCAACTATTAGGCAATACAGAAATGAAATAAATCATCATCATCATCTTCATCACCGGGAGTTGGTAGGATCAAAAGATTGTCTAGCAGTGTTTGCATAATCAATGAATGCATAAATGAGTGGCATGCTCTTTGGAGACCCAGTTTACCCACCACAACGGAATCCAGGTCTAGTGTGCAGCTTGGAGTGGTGGAGAGGGATAGGGGGCAGATCTGACCCTGGCTACCTAGAGAACCGTACAGTGCCCCTTGTGTGTATTTCCCTCCCTTCAACTGTTTCCAGTTGCTTCATCTCATAAAACCCATTAGAAGCCACATGCTCCCATCATGGGAAAGAACAGGGAACAGGGAAAGAAAACACTTGGGTGGGGGAACATGAGTTAAGGAGCGATTCTTGAACTTACAAAGAATCTGGAAACAGCAGGTTCAAATCCTCATGAGGAACAGCTCTTAGGAAAGGCATTCCAACCTTTGCAAATGGGGGGGGGGGGGGGGGGGGAGAACTGCACAAAAGCCTGAAGTCCAGCAACTGGTGGCTGGCTGGAGGAAAGGCACTTGGTGCATCACAGGCCAGACTGGGACTGAGGTTTTGCATCCCTGGTATGGTTGGCTGGGGCCTGCTAGGAACTGTAGGGCTTTGTCTGTCTAAACATGCATAGAACTGCGTCCATTTAGACCCTGCCTAAGCCATGGATGTCCCCTCTAGTTTTTTATTTTTACCCAAGAGCACGTTCCCTTGCTGCAGATGCTTTAGCTGTGACAACATACCTGCAACAGAAGAGGGGTTTCATAGCAGATTATGTGCCCATCTCACAAATTCAAGCAGCGACTGACCTGGCATTTCACTAACATCTGAATCCCTGTTTTACAGGAGTAGTTTTACACAGCTAGTGAACTTGTCCCACTGCTCACAGAGCTGACACTGACACTTGTACATGTGGCCCAGGTACCTTTGTTTGTCTTGAGCCTTTAGCTAAGAATAAAATCACTGGGAAGAAAATGATGGAATTAGGGAAGACTTTTATTTCAGCCTGCAAAAGTGGTGATTAAATCTAGGCAGTGCCTTTTCCAAAGAAATGAAATCTCAGGAGGAGGCATGGTGGTTACAAAGGTGGGGCTGAATTACTTACCAACTTGCTATGATAACACACTTTCAGGCTTTCAACCACCTGTAATGCAACAATGTGATTAGTCATCCAAGATAATGCAGGAGGGATGTGCCTTGTGTTTCTTCTGTTAACTAGAAAAGAAAGACTGCAATAAAATCAACATTCCAGTACAAACCGCACAGGAAAAATGACCCCATACAAAACCAGATTGTCCAGAAAGCAAGGTACAGAACAAGTGTACTTAATATCCGTTTAACTCATAAACATCCTATAGCAATGTGATTCTCAGAATTCCTCTCCAAACTAGCACTAGTGTTGCTCAGGAGAGAGAGGAGAGGAAAATACCTGCAGCTACTTTTAAAGCAAGTTCTGTCCAGCACCATTTATATTTTATGGAGGGTCTAAACATGTCATGATGAAGCTACTGTTCTTTATTTAACTTATTAATGCACAATCCAATGGGAATGCCTGTAACTCTCCAAACTCAGAGTCTCATGGATACCCTGGGCAGAGCAGGGACAGCTTGGCAGTCCTCCCTACCCCCCTGAAGACCCTCTTTACCCCTTCTCCAAGGCTGATCTTATGACCTTGGAGAAATGACCAACCCAGTTTGTTCCACAAGGGCTGCAAAGTGCAGGGAGGGGATCTGAATGCAGATCCTTGGCCACAAAGGCAGAATTCGTTTCCAACTTTGGATCTGTGAATCCCAAAAAATCCAATGCCTCCCCGCCCCCCAGGATCCATAGACTCACTCTCCCCCCTATCTTAAGCAGCTGATGTTAGCTCTCTTGGAAGTCTTGTTTGCTTTGAAACAGAGAAGTTTCAAAGCAAACAATCAGGCTACAATCTTATGCGTGTCTGGGCAGAATACAGCTCCTGGAATGTCACAGGGAGCCCTGCCTAGGAAAATAACTATGGCAGTGAGCAGAGGTAAATAACAGAGATGGCCTGATCAATGCAGGTAAGCATGAGTATAGGGGTGCCTCAGTGTAGACCTGGCTGGGGATGTGGCTCAGGGGCAGAGCACCTGCTTTGCACGCAGAAGGTCCCAGGTTCAATCCCCAGCTTCTCTAGGGAGGACTGGGAAAGCCTCCAGCCCGGAGAGGCACCAGTCAGTGCATAATTCTAGGCTAGGCAGACCCTGATATGATTCAGTGTAGAGCAGCTTCCCATGTTTCTTTCTATGATTCCAGCTGTACATCTAATGCTGGAGCAGTTATAGAAGTCCCAACCACCAGGGTGGGGTGGAACCCCAAAATCAGTTGGATTTTCTGCAATAGAAACAGCATGGTGGGGAGAAGTTGAACAAATTAATTGAAAATTAATTTATCAAAATTTTGGTTAAAATTTTATTAAATTAACATAAATTCTTAAATTGGGTAAGGATCAGTCAACATCCCTTACAAGGGAAAAGATGTATAGCAAGACTTTTTATTACTGCAGAATCACAATAAAGGGGAAAGTGAAACAAAAATTGGATGCTTCCTAAAACTTTGAGAGCTTGCTTCTCCGCAAGCTGACCAGTTTTGGGAAAGAAGTAAATGCATATGTGGCCAAGGCATAAGAGAGAAACTAACAGCCAAGCCTTTGCAGATTGTTCCTTTGTGGACCTGGGGTGTCATTTTCTCATATGAGCATCCTATTCATTGGGTTTGGCCCAGATGGAATCATACTTAGAGTAGGACCAGTGACATCAATGGGACTTGAATGAGTAATAACTAACTTTAATCCTATTAATTTCAGTGGATTTGTTCCAACTCTGTTGTAATCAGGAGTCAACCTATTGTCTGGTTATCTCTTCTATGCCAGAGATAACTATTTTTAAAAGCTGGGTGTATATATATATATATATATATATATATGTGTGTGTGTGTGTGTGTGTGTGTGTGTGTGTGTGTATTGTTTACTCGCTAAGATCCTTCATGACCTCATGGACACATTCCTCCAGGCTCTCCTGTCCTCCACCACCCCTCGGAGTCCACCCAAGCCCACACCCACCGCCCTAGTGACCCCATCTAGCCAACGCAATCTCTGCCATCCCCTTCTCCTGTCAATTGTTTCCAGCATCAAGGTCTTCTCCAGTAACTCCTTCCTTCTCATAAGGTGGCCAAAGTTTTTTGAGTTTCATCTTCAGTATCTGGCCTTCTAAAGAGCAGTCGGGGTTGATCTCCTCCAAGACTGACTGGTTTGATCTCCTTGCAGTCCAAGGGACTCGCAGGAGCTTTCTCCAGCACCACAATTCAAAGGCATCAATTCTTTGGCATTCAGTTTTCCTTATGGTCAAACTCTCACAGCCATACATTACAACTGGGAAAACCTAGCTTTGGCTTTATGAACTTTTGTCAGCAGGAGGATGTCTTTGCCGTTTAGTATGCTTTCTAGATTTGCCATAGCTTTCTTCCCAAGGAACAAGCGTCTTTTAATTTCTTGGCTGTAGTCACTACCCCCATTTCTTCCCCATCTATTTGCCAGGTAGGACCAGGTGCCATGATCTTAGTTTTCTTACTGTTGAGTTTCAAGCCAACTTTTGTGCTCTCCTCCTTCACTCGCTTCAAGAGGCTCTTTGCCATTAGATTGGTATCATCTGTGTATCTGAGGCTGTTGATATTTCTTCTGGCAATCTTAATTTCTACTTGTGATTCATCTAGCCTGGCCTTTCACACGATGTACTTTGCATATAAGTTAAACAGGCAGGGTGACAATAAACAGCCTTGCTGTACTCCTTTCCCAATTTTGAACCAAGCATTAGTTCCATGTCCGGTTCTCACTGTTGCTTCTTTACCCACACAGAGGTTTATCAAGAGACAAATAAGATGGTCTAGCACTCCCATCTCTTTAAGAACTTGGCACAATTTGTTGTGATCCACACAATCACGGGCTTTAGCATGGTCAATGAAGCAGAAGTAGATGTTTTATTGGAACTCCCTAGCTTTCTCCATGATCCAGCATATGTTGGCAATCTGATCTCTAGTTCCTCTCCCTCCTCGAAACCCTGCCTGCAGTTCTGGTAGTTTGCTGGTGTTCTATCGAGCATCCAACAGCCATCTCCCGGTTCCACTAGAGTTTGGACCCGTGCTCGGATTGGGGCCCTAGTCGGCTGCGTGTGCAGGGCTTTTAAAACCCAGATTTGTTTGTTTGTTTGTTTTAGACATTTATATGTCGCTCATTAGCACGGCGCTCCCACAACGGCGTGCAGGGAAGAAGGGGACCCCTGCCTATCTTGGAGAGCAAACGAGAAGAAGCTCTTGCTGCGGGACACGCGCCAGAGACGCTCCGCCCAGGGGTCGCGGCCGCGCCTCCCTCCTCGGGCCACTCGCGGCGGCGGCGGCGAGCCGGGCGCAAAGGTGCAGCGCCGGCCGCGAGCGCCCAGCAGGTGGCGGGCAGCGCGTCCGGGGGAAGTCCTCGCCCTGCAAACTCCCCTCGGGTCCGCTGGCCGGGGCGGAGGGTCGCTGCGCACCGCTTCTCGGACCAAGACGGGGGGCCATCAGGGTGACTCATGGGGAAGCTGCTGGCGCTCGCGCTGGCTGGGATCGTGGCCGCGCTGGTCGGAGAAAGGCTGGTGGCATTCCGGTAAGCCTCACCGGCTGTGGCGCGGTCCTGACTTTGCGCCGGAGTCACCGCGGCGCGGCTGTTCAGGGCTCCGGGCTCACAGGCGCGCCCGGTCCTTCACGGAGCTGAGCGTATCGCATTCCCACGCTTGAGGCGAAGGGGCGCTCGGCTCCCGGTGGGATCGGGCAGCTTCTGTGTTGAGTGTCTCATCCTCACTTTGGCGAGGCAGTAGCCTGGGGAGAGGGGCTCACCCCTAAATTTTCTCTGCCTCTAAAGTTTTCTAGACTCAAATAATTTTAAAAAGTTCACAGGTTTGCCTTAACGGGGCGCCACCCTTCTGTTGGCAGCTCCCACTCCAACTTTTAGCCTGGCTACACGGTGTGAGAATCGGTAAATAAAGGACGGCGCAGGCTGCCAGGGTCTCCATTATGCTGTTCATGCACTTGCTTTGGACAGGCGTGCGTCTACTTGGTAGTTGAATCCCAGCGTGTTCGAGGGGGTAGGGTGTTGTATCTCATTCCAAGGAAGTGTGAAACGGTTTGCAATGTGCATTCACTGAGGCTGCATATTTAGAAGGTTTAAGGTTTGGGCACCTCCCTGCGATTGAGATGTAAAAAGTACGGAGAGTTCGTTAGGCAAGTGCTTGGAAAAGGAGCGAGCTGGCCGCTTTTCTCGTTGGACAAGTGAGGGGGGCGGGGAGCGTTCGTAATGCACTGCATTGTTGGGCCCTGGGAAAAAATTCCTCTTTTAATTAGATTGCATTATGTCCTACTGATTAGAGCATAGTAGGGTAGGGGCAGTGGGAGGAAGACTGGTAGAGCAGCTTTTCTCCGTTAGGTGCCTTTAAAATGCTGCAGCCCTCCTGATCCCCAGCCAACTTTGCCAAGCGTCAGAAATAATGGATGTGTCCTTCTGAATGCTTTGAAGAGCATCAGATGGGTTGAGCGCTATACTGGGAAGCTGTGACCTTTTGTTTAGTGATCGCAGCATGATGCTGGGTGAGAGTTAAGATGCTCCCAGGCGAGCCTACATGTGCCCAATTGCATGGCCTCATTCACAGGATTTTACAAGGGTCCAGAGGATGACCTCTTCAATTTGGAACCCTCCTGTGCATTTCCACTGCTGCTTCTGTCCTTTTGCACCATAAAGGGTCATTTCTGGAAGGAAGGGGGTTCATAGCACTACCAGTCAAAAGGCACTGGGGAACTCTGTTGTCTCGTCCTCATTAAATGATCCCTTTTTCAGGTAAGTAAAAAAAGATGGACAAAGCTTTGGGAAAACATTGCTGCACAAAACAGAGCTCTGCATTTACTAGCCATTTTCCTAGTTTGGCCTATTCTAGAAACTAGAGCCCAGTTGAAGAACAGTTGATATGAAAACAGAAGTCCTGCAGAGGTAACCTGCCAGCAGAGATAAGGTGCAGGGGAGTCACCTGGAATGCCTGGAAAGGGTGAAAAACTGCAAGTCTCACTGGCCAGCTCTGCCCCCACCAGTGGCGTACTGGAAAACTGCAAAGTGCAGGCAGCCATCCAGAGCTCTGTTGGCCTGGCTGCGCTGCTGGATTTTGTTGCTGTTGCTTTTTGCTTTGCTTTGACTTGTGAGTAAGAAGAGTGTAACATTATTTGCGGGAAGCAAGTTGTTACATTGAGCCTCCCCTTGCTGCATAGCAATAATTCAAGATGACTTTGTGACAGGCGTCTATTTTTGAAGTATGAGCAAACATTCTGCTAACTGGAGAGATCGTTGGATGGAAGAGCATCATAATCTACTGGGTTGGGTGGAGAGAGAAGTACGTTTCCTTGTGTTTACCTTTACCTTTCCTGCTCCTCTTCTCTGGACCTTAATGTTGCTTGGGAAGCAAGCTAATGCCTCATTATTTATTTAATCAAAGTGGTTTTGCTCCCACCCTTTGGCCAAAAAGGGAGTCTTCTGGTGTGACCTTTGAAGGTCAGTGGCTTACACATTTGCTTACACCGTGCACACTTGTGACTGTCTGCTCACGACGTCTGTTCTAGTCTGACCAGATAACAGCTCTCAGAATGGCTGCTGTTCTCCATACAGTTACTTAACTGCAAGTAAGCACATATTTGCCCTCTTTGTTTTACCTGAGCTCACTCTCATGTGTATTTAGGTCGGTTAGACTGCAATCCTGTGCAATCCTAGGATGCTTACCTGGGAATAAGTAAAGAAGAGGGACTGTGTAGACATGCACGGTCAGTATCCTAAAGTGCTCTTTCTGACTTGCATTATTATACATGGCAGATAGTATCCTCAGAGAGTAAATGGTAAACAAATCTATTTTAGAAGCCAGGTGCTAAATAGTCAGATAGCCTAACGTTTTACTCTTGCAAATATGGACAGGCACAAACCTGGTCTTTCTTAAAACCAGTGTGGATTAATGCAACAAGTCCTAGTGTGTATTCAGGGAAGACAAAATGCAGAATGTTGTAAAACCTTTCTTACTGGATGAATAGCATCAAAGCACGATAAACATAATAGGACTCTGTGTGCAGTTGTGTCGCTGAAACATGGAAAGAATCTGTTTAAAACAGTGAGGAGAGCACATTCCTTTCCATGGAAAGGAGCAAAGAGATACCATTCAAAAATTCAAACACAATTCAAGCATAAGTCCCACTTTGGCTGCAGGCTTTTACACACTTGAGAGCAAGTCCCACTTAACTCAATGAGGCTTACCTCTGAGTAGTCACATGTAGGATTGCAGTGTAACTTCCAGCTAAGCATGTACAGGGCTGGAGCTTTTTAGATGTTTTGCCTACATCTACCATCAGCCATACCCACTGAGTGGGATGATGGGAGTTGTAGGCTGCAACCCGAAAGGGCCACAAGTGGCCCATCCCTTCTGTTTAGAATCTCAAATTAAAGCCCTGGCTAGAAAGTAAAAAGCAGAAGACTTGAGACTTACTTGTTCGTTTTTTTCTCCTCCAATCTCTTTGCGTGTGGGCAAGAGTGCAATGCAACATGAGCACGCTATGTTGCAATCCAGCTGATAACAGCGGTAGAGTGCAGAGTTTAAAATACAGATAAAAAGGTGTCTAGGTGCCATCTGGATCCTATGCTGAAATGAAAGAAGAATAATCATGACTTAGTCTGTTGTCCTCCATTATTTTCCTCTTTTTAGCAGACTGTAATGAATGTACACTGTTAAATATTTAACAATGGAAAATTTTGCTACTAGAAGCATTTACTAATAGATATTTCTTGTGACTTCGTTTGGTACTCCTGTTTCAGCTACAGAGAGCAATGCTGAAAACATGCATTCTTCAGTCCCTGCCTTGGAAAAGAAGACAGACAAACTTTTGGTCCTAGGCTAGTGGCCAGTCCTGTGTTCCATGAACAGAAAGTCTCTGTTCAAGAAGCAGTGCAGATACTGCAGGAATATCCCAGCTCCAGTTTTCTTGCTATTTTGGAGGGCATCCTAACCTTTTGGAACACAATTTGCAGAGGATTTAGGGCTGCAAGGCGGTGAAGGAATTGGCAAAAAAAATAATGTGTCCCCCACACTTGCCTCCAGTAATTTACTGACTTCTATTCTGCACTCTCTGGATTGAAGCCAATGGATAAGATCATGGAACAGTTTTATGTCTAGTCAAATATATGTGATCCTGAAGACCCCCCCCCCCCACACACACACACAGTTGTCATGTATTTTCGAATTTGCCTTATTTTCTTAATTCAACTGGACAGAATTGCTTTGCAGGTATTGTCTGCAGTGCTCTTCTTTGCTTCTGGAACATCATGGTTGGATTGAACATGCTGATGGTGGATGGGCATAAACTACACTCTGTACATGCTCAGAATTCCCTATTCTTACTAATTCTTGCAGAATTATTCAGCACCTTTGATTTGTTGCCTAAAATGGAACTGAGTCAGGGAGCGCTCTTGGATGCTTCTCTTAAGAACATGAATCACCTGTGCAAGTCCCTTGAAATGGATAGAGACTGCATGAGAGCCAGGCGGCTCTGCTTGTAGCTGTTCTCCAGAGGGACTTGCAGTGGATTCATTCGGCATCTTGCATGGCCTTTAGATGCTCCAATAAACAAACACTCAGCCTGTGCTTTGGAAATCTTTTTAAATATTTGAGTGACTTACCTTTGAACCATTGCCTCTCCCAAGTTAAATATTTCCCAATTCTTTCATCACAATTTGTTTGAAGGCATCCACGGTTCATTTATACATGTTGACTCAAAGAATTGAGAGGGGAGGTTACAGTGGGATTGAAGACTGTTCAGATCCCTCCTTGAGACAGCAAGCTCACTGGGTGAAGTTTGCCCAGTTGCCAATCTCACAAGGTTGTTGTGAGGAAGAAGAAGCATCCTGATATCCTTGGCATGCCACCCCTTGGTTCCTTTGGCAGAAGGACGGGATACATACACAATTACCTTACCCCTTGAGTTCAGTGGGTTCTACTCCTAAACTGGGTTGCAAATGCTTGGGGGGAAAGGGGAAATAAGGGATTTTTTAAAAAATCCAAAGAGCCATAGGGGAAGAGGGCTTCCTACTAAATTGCTTGATACCCCGCCCTGCCTCAAGCCTGCACATCTCTGCTCGTAAGTAAGCATGCAGTGGATTACAGATGCAACTATCATTGTTGCTCACTGATGAAGGATCTGTAGTTGCCATCTCTCAAAATGTGAGAGGCCAAAAGCTCCAAGCATGACCAGTACTGAATTGCAGTGAATACGTCCCCAAATGTACACCCGCATGCCAATCATTAGTGGCTTTCCACTTTCCAAGATATTTCCAATGGGGCAGATTCATGCTGAATGAGCTCTGCATTTGGAGTATGCTTCCTTGGCATTTCCACTGGCCTTTAGATGAGATGTAAGAGGTAGTCAGTGACTGCGACCCTTGCAAACCTCTCTGGTGCTCAGTCGAAGCTTTGTAGTCCAGAGAAATCCATACTGATGCTTGCTTTAGAGGTGTGGGGGCAGGTTAACGCCACATGAGCAGGGCTGCTGTGTGTCATCCTGTGCCGGCACTGGGAATTTAGGACCAGAAATGGCACAGTTCTGCATATGTTGGAAAGATAAAGGTGGTGGGCCTGAGAAACTGTGATGTCCTAAGTGGTTCCTCTTGGAACCTGCTGGTTTAAAAATGCAGTAAATGGTGTCTATGAAGCAGTAGACCTTGAGGTCTTCTAAAAACAACAACAGCTCATTTGTTGTTGTTATTAACTGTGAAGTTGTGTCCGACCCAATGCGACCCCATGGACAACATTCCTCCAGGCCTTCCTGTCCTCCACCATCTCCCGGAGTCCACTCAAGCTCACACCAACTGCCTCAGTGACTCCATCTAGCCACCTCATTCTCTGCCGTCCCCTTCTTCTTTTGCCATCTATTGTTCCCAGCATTAGGCTCTTCTCCAGTGAGTCCTTCCTTCTCATTAGGTGGCCAAAGTAATCAAGTTTCATCCTCAGTATCTGGCCTTCTAAAGAGCAGTGAGGGTTGATCTCCTCTAGGACTGACTGGTTTGATCTCCTTGCAGTCCAAGAGACTCTCAGGAGTCTTCTCCAGCACCACAATTCAAAGGCCTCAATTCTTCGGCGCTCAGCCTTCCTTATGGTCCAACTTTCACAGCCATACATTGCAACTGGGAAAACCATAGTCTTGATTATACACACTTTTGTTGGCAGGATGATGTCTCTGCTTTTTAGTATGCTGCCTAGATTTGCCATAGATTTCTTCCCCAGGAGCAAGCATCTTTTAATTTCTTGGCTGCAGTCCCCATCTGCAGTGATCTTGGAGCCCAGGAAAATAAAATCTGTCACTACCTCCATTTCTTCCCCATCTATTTGCCCGGAAGTGATAGGACCAGATGCCATGATCTTAGTTTTCTTAATGTTGAGTTTCAAGCCAACTTTTGTGCTCTCCTCCTTCACCCACATCAAGAGGCTCTTTAGATCCTCTTCACTTAGCTCTTGTACAATGTTGCGAACCTCCGTCCATAGTTCTTCAGGCACTCTATCAGATCTAATTCCTTAAATCTATTTCTCACCTCTACTGCATATTCATCAGGGATATGATTCAGGTCATGCCTGATTGGCCTAGTGCTTTTCCCTACTTTCTTCAATTTAAGCCTAAATTTTGCAACAAGAAGCTCATGATCTGAGCCACAGTCAGCTCCTGGTCTTGTTTTTACTGACTGTATAGAGCTTCTCCATCTTTGACTGCAGAGCACATAGTCAATCTGATTTCTGTGTTGACCGTCTGGTGATGTCCATGTATAGAGTCGTCTCTTGGGTTGTTGGGAAAGAGTGTTTGCTATGACCATCATATTCTCTTGAAAGAATTCTACCAGCCTGTGCCCTGCTTCATTTTGTACTCCAAGGCCAAACTTGCCTGTTATTCTGGTTATCTTTTGGCTTCCTACTTTAGCATTCCAATCCCCCATGATGATAAGAACATCATTTTTTGGAGTTAATTCTAGAAGGTGTTGTAGGCCTTCATAGAACTGATCAGCCTCTTCAGCACCAGTGGTTGGGGCATAGACTTGGACTATTGTGATGTTGAATGGTTTGCCTTGGATTCGAACTGAGATCATTCTGTCATTTCGGAGATCGTTTCCCCGTACTGCTTTTCCTACTCTTTTATTGATTATGAAAGCTACTCCATTTCTTCTGAGGGATTCTTGCCCGCAGTAGTACACCTGATGGTCATCTGAATTAAATTCACCCATTCCTGTCCATTTTAGTTCACTGATTCCTAAGATGTCGATGTTCAGTCTTGTCATCTCTTGTTTGACCACGTCCAGCTTGCCTTGATTCATAGATCGTATGTTCCAGGTGCCTATGGAGTATAAATCTTTACAGCATTGGACTCTACTTTCACCACCAAATACATCTGCAACTGAGTGTCCTTTCAACTTTGACCCAGTCACTTCCTTCTTACTAGCCCTCTGCTCTTCCCCAGTAGCATATTGGACACCGTCCGACCTGAGGGGCTCATCTTCTGGTGTCATATCTTTTTGCCTTTTAGTACTGTCCATGGGGTTTTCATGGCAAAGATACTGGAGTGGGTTGCCATTTCCTTCTCCAGGGGATCACGTTTTGTCAGAGCTCTCTGCTATGACCTGTCTGTCTTGGGTGGCCCTGCACGGCGTAGCTCACAGCTTCATTGAGCTACACAAGCCCCTTCGCCATGACAAGGCAGTGATCCATGAAGGGGAACAGCTCATAGACTCATGCAAAATGGCAGGCTTTCTAGAGCTGGTGCTCTCCAGATGTGTTCGACGGCAACTCAGAATTCCCAGGGAGCCTGGACAGCTGGCTGGCCGCTATTGGAACTGCAGCCTGACATGTCTGAGTGGGTACCAAGTTGGGAAAGGCTGAACAGAGGGACAGAACAGACTTTCTTTCCATGGCCATTGCACATGACTGGGGGTTGGATGTTTCCTATTGTTCTTGATTTTTGCTGAAGGGCTTTTGATATGAAATGGTGGCTGAAATGCAGATTATAGCTTACTGTTTAAACTGTCTAAAACCAGTCCACTAACAAGCCATGACTTCTTAACCCATGTTTGTTAACAAACAGCCCATGAAGACAGCCCATAGAGTGTTATTGGGTTATACATTGTGGCTTGTTTATCATGGTCTGTTATCTCCGCTAGGTTCAGACAACATGAGACTCCATGTTGTCTTAGTCCAGTCTGTGTTGAGTCTTGTGTATGAAAATGCTAGAAGCCTTTGAGCAAAGTATTGGTTCCAGGGAGAAACACCAGAAGAGAGTGATTGAGCTTTATGCCCTCGTTATGGGCTGCCTGGGGGCATCTGGTTGCCTGTTGTGGGGGCTGATTATGGCAGCAGGCAGAAGGATCCAGAGGGGTCCGTGCATTAGCATCCCTGATGCTAGCAGGGTGTGGTAGGCAGTGGATGGCCTGGAAAATCCTTTGTGCTACTAAGTGCTGTTGGCCTTGCTCAAGCGTTGTTTTCTGTTCCTGCATACAGACACCAATGGATCATTGCCCAGGTCTGATCCAGCAGGGTCATTCTTACATTCTTATAGATATTTTATAGATGTTCTGTATTTGCTCTGTAGGATATTGTTAGTTTTTTTAATCATTTTAAAAAGATGCTCTAAAATTGGTTTTAATAATGGTTTATTGGTTTCACTGCTGCCTTTCAGAGAGTTTTTAACTGCCAGACAACATTTATAAAATGGTTTTCTTCTTTCTTTCTCTCTTTCTTTCCTTTTTGCTACTTTGATTACTTTTAATTTGTTAGTTTTATATCTACTGCTTTAAAGTTTTATTGTTTTATTGTCCTACTGTTTTAATTGAATTGTATTTTTTTAATTTGTTGCTTTATTGTTGTGCTATTGTAAGCTGCCCAGAGAGCTTTATGGTGAAGGGTGAAGTGCGTGCATGAATGAATGAACAAGTGTTTCCTTTCTTTTGCAGAAATAGAATGTGTGCCTCACGGGAACTAAAACCAAAGCGGCTTCCAAACTGTCACCTTATTAAAGGAATTGGTAGGTCTTCTGCATGCGTGTGACCAATTGGTATTCTCTGAATGTCACTGTGGCATCACATCCAAGGCATATTTCAAGCTAGTCCTGCAACATGCAGTGAGGGTGGGGCTTACTCACAGGCGAGTGTGCGCAGGAGGGCAGCTTTTGAAGACCTTTCATTATCTTCTCTTTTTGGACAAACAGCAAAGAGTCTCATGGCATTTGAAATGTGTTTTTTACAGCATGGGCATTTGCGGATCATAGCCCATTTCATCGGATGCCTGGGATGTCATTCTGAGCTTGAAGATTATTTATACACATGAGTGTAAGGAGGAGTGAAAAAAGAATGATATCAGAAGAGATAAATACAAGAAACACATACAGTGATAATTATATTAACATTTAAAGCTATGTAAAAAAAGCAGACTTCATTCACTGAAATACCCTCCCATGTTGGCTGGATATTATGGGAGTTCAACACATTTGGAGAGTCCCAGATTAGGGAAGACTGCATTAAATAGTCTTGATAAGCAGTGTCTTACATTTAGTGATGTCTAATCAATATTATTAATCCAATCTAAAATTTCTAGGGCAGCTTTAAGGCTGTAATTAACTCAATTTATATTGAATTGTGGAGAAAGAGCAAATACCCCTACGTAGCTTATTAAACCCACAGCAAGCCTGCCACATGTTTGCGGTCACCATTTTGACTATGCAACAACCACTTGGATTGTCTTATCAAGCACATCTGGTCAGAGTGGATTATGTGGATCTTGAACAAATTCATATAACTCAGTCCATTTTATTTATTTATTGTATTTATAAATCTCTCTATAGCCCATAGGGCTCTCTGGGCAGTGTACAATAGAAAACAGAATCAATAACATTAATAACCAATAAGAACAATAAAAAACAGAATACAAGGGGTTCAGCAATTCAAGTCTATAACAGGAATGATACACCTTATAACACAATAGCGACTTGAACAAACAAACATTAAAAAAAAACAATATTAAAAGCTAACATTAGTTAATCATTAAAATATCTGGCAAATTAACCTGGTGCTGGAAGGAGATCAAGGACAGCGCCAGGCAAATCTCCGTGGGGAGCATGTTCCACAAGTGGGGTGCAACTACACAGAAGGCCCTTCTAACCATTGCTGCCTTTACTTCTTTTACTGATGGTTCCTTAAGAAGGACCTCCACTGAAGATCTTAAAGTCCAGGCAGGAACATGTGGGGAAAGGTGTTCCATAGGGCTTTAAATGTTTGTGTCAGCACTTTGAATTGACTTCAACTGGTAACCAATGCCGCTGGTAGAGGGCTGGGGTGATTGGTTGTTTTAAGGTTATGCAAGGGCTGCTTTAGAACACAAACAAGAATTCTTTTAAAAATAGCCCATGACAAGTTGCAGCATATCATCTGACCCAGGTAGCTGAATGTATAGGTTGGTTGTGACTTCAGCACCAAGTCAGGTCTGTTCTTTCCTCCCATCCCCACCTATTTTTTCTGGTGTCTTGCCTGCTTAAGAGATAGAGAGTTCTCAAGAACCCTGGCATTCCTTAGATGACATTTTGGTTGTCTTAATAAAAGATGACCCTAATGCAGAGTTTGGAAGTTTCTTATGGCCAACACAGCCACCATTGCCTTATGGGTGACTTGGGGAGGAACCGTAGTTCAATGAGCAAAGGACTTGCTTTACATGCTAACAGTTAGATCCATGGCATACCCAGAAAAAAAAAATCATTAGCAAGTCACGCAGAAGATCTCTGCTGAACAGACAAATACCAGGGTGCATGTAACACAACCTGCTTGTTCTGGGCCCGCCGGAGCTCCAAGCTTCAATCTCTGGCACTTCCAGGCAAAGCTGCGAAGGTCTCCTGCCTCACACTGTGGCCGGTCTTTCTAGCCCTGTGGCCTGGCATCAGCTTTCCAGGCTCTCGGGCACAAATTGTTCAGCTCTACCTGGAAGTGCTGGCAATGCAGCCCAGGACCTTCTGCATGCAAAGCAGGGGTTCTTTCACTGAGTTATAGCCCCTCCCAGTTGAACTGAGATACAGGGGTGGCTTATAGCTACATACTTGCAGCCCAGGGGAAGTCAAACGCTATAAATGCTTGCTATTCTTAAGTCCAACTTAAGTCCACAGCTGTTGCGCAGACAAGACTGGAATGAGACACACCTTCATACCACAGGCAAGGACCAATTGTGCAACTCTGGGAGCTTTCAGGGAATTCAGCACACAGAGTTAGCTAGAGAAATCTCACGTGGTAATACTGCAAATAAGGGGGAGACTGCAGCCAGTGAAGGTGGGTGTAGGATGCAACTGGAAAGGAGTTTTTCCTTCTTGGGATTGGACAGTGATCCTCTTTAAACTGTAGTTGGGTATAATAATTTTGGGCTTGAGATTTATCCATAGAGCCCTTCTCTGTGGCAGTTCCTGTGTGGGTGATGGTATTGCATTTACCTATGGATCCTGACCCTATCAAGGTTCCCAGGCGCTTGTTCAAGCTGCACAGTGCAGTGACTTTTCATGTTTTCTAAGGGACACGTCAAAATGTGCACATTAAGCTGCTGCTGCTGCTGTTGCTAGGTTGCATTTATATCCCACCTTTCTTCCCTTGGCAAGGAACCCAAGGCCACACCACACAAAGCATTTCTTTAGTCCATTTTCACCCCTAGCTTTCCTCTGAGGAGATCAAGATCGCCCCTGCAGTTTTGCTCACACTACAGCTCATCGGTGCGTTTGAACCCAGGTCTCCTAAGTCCTTATGCAACCTATTCCAACCACTGTAATCACAGAACCACCCAAATGATGATTCTTTGTTTGATAAGATATCGTTCTTCCCAATAACAAGATCCTGAGCCGTTTTTTTAAAGCACGGTGGCACACAACGCTTACAATCAGATTGAGGTTCAGGTTTGCCCTATATGGGGCATCACTAAAATAATGGGTGCCTTTCCTATCAAACAGTGTTGCAACGCCATCCAGAGATGCATGCTGTTTGGACCGGTTAGAAATATCCCCCAAAAATAAATTAATAAAAACGCCTGTGCCACTTATTTTAGATAGCGACATTGTGGACAAGCTGACTTCTTCTCTTTCCTGGCATACAAGTCCAAAAAAGGGAGAGATTTGTGAATAATGGAACCATAAAGAAGGGAACTGAGGCTGTGTGCTTCGCGTACCAGTGCCATGCAGGGCACTTGAAGATACTTGAGGCGCTGCTTCACAACGGCCTTGACTAGGCCCTCTTTCTCAACCGGAGATTGACCCCTGTCCTTCCCCTTGTTGCACTTGCTTTTTGTGGAAGGGATCTCCATGGCAACAGAGACCTTTTCAGTTTGAGCAACAGATAAGAGAACCTGTCTTGACCAGATTGTTGCTTTCCAATCGCTCCCCACCTTGACATCTCCCCCTCTAACAGAAGGCTGCATTTCTAGGGTTTCCACATAGCCACAGCATAATGTTGAGCACGGCTAAACAGACTCATCTGTAGTTGTAGAAAGAGCCAGAGACCTTTAAGTTATGGGACATTTGCCCCTCTTGGTTTTTTCACTCCTTCATATCTCATGCTGTAAGCTATTAAAAAACACCTCAATAGCTCTGTCTCCCATCGGTCGCTGTTAGTGGCAGGAACATTGCCTGAATGGCATGGTGCATGCGAGTCCTTAAGTGGGCAGGGTTGCATGTAAGAAGCAGCAACATACCTCCTGTGTTAAGGCTGCAAGTCTCACTAAACTCTTTGAGATGCATTGAGGGTGATGCAGAAGCTTAGCTTGTATGCCCCTAAAGCCAGATGTTTTGAACTTCAACTTCCAATATTCCTGACCACTGGCCATAGCGGCAGGTGCTTCTAGGAGATGTCAGCCAGAAATTCCGGAGACCTTTCTGTTCACTTCTCATTTGCACTGACCGCCAACAGTTCTTCAGCGCAGCAGAGAGATTTTTCTCAGATCTATTCTGTGCCAAGCAGCTGTTCTGTCTCTGGGCACTGATCTTTTTCCTAAAGTAGTGACCTGAAAGGGTATTACTGTTTTACCTTTTTTGAGGGTGGTAGCAAACAGAGAGTGTGATGGCACAAAGAGAAAGAGCATGAGAGAAGGCAAAGAGACGGGTAAAATTGGCATATACAGTGAATAATAAAATAAAAGTTGAATCCAGTGTTGCAGGATGCACTTAAGGGTGGATTCTGCATCTGAAAAGGCTGAAGGCTTTTGACTTTGAGTACTATTTACTAGAAAGAATTGCTCAATAGGCTTTGTCCCACTACCCAAAATAATAGGTCAGAAGTAGTGCAAAGGCTTTCAGATTCTCCTGGAAGAGAGGGCCAAGATTCCTTGGGGAAATCTTTGAGAGCTGTTGCCAGTCTCTGTAGAGAATGCGTACTTAGATGGTCAGTTTTTAAAACACTGGGCCACTGATCCATTTATTTGCATGAATGTCTCTGCTCAAAATCATTTCCCTTTTTTTCTTTTTCAGAGGTGGGCTCAGAAGATATTGACATACTTCCAAATGGCCTAGCTTTCATTAGTTCTGTAAGTCTTTCTTTCACAAGCAGAAAGTCATGTTTGAGGGCAATTGATGAAATGGTAGTGCATGACAGGCTGTGTTTTGGTTGTGTCTTGTTTTTTACAGCATGACTTTAACCATACCTGCCATTTAATTGATACTGACTGTCCACCAAAAAACAAAACAAAAACAAAAACAAACCCAACAGGTGTCAATTCTGGAGTGACCTTATAACCCCAGAAGAAGAAAGTGCCTGAAGCAATAAAAATGAAAAATCCTAAAAAATACTTTGCTCTGGCTGGAATTTTCCCTAAAGGAGTAGCAATAATTTATGTTCTAGTTCTTCCTACAACTATACAAACAGAGAATTCCTACATAAAAAACCAGGCACGTAGGCATTTATCTGCCTGGCCCACTAACCAAAAATCACAGCTCAGCTTTGTCTCAATAGATTTTAATTCTTATTTGCTGGAGGTTTTAGCTTAGAAACTTAGCTTTAAAATTAGACAAAGACAACCTGGATTCAACCTTGCTTTGTGTCATTTGGGGACGGTACGTTTGGGGTCAATTTGTCATCCAAGGCATTTTTCTTTTTCTTTTAAGTAAAGGCAGGAATCTAAAATCTGGGGATCTTTGAGAGCAGTACCTTCCCTGTGACAATGCTGTAAAGGAATGATTTAGTAGGACGACTCATGTGCAAATTACATAACAGAATGCGCACCTGGGGTACCAAAGTCAGCCCAAAATGCAGAACAGGCTGCAGGGTGCAAACACGGGTCTCAGAGTTAGTCCATCAATTCAGTCAGCCTTGTGCATCCTAAACTGGCATTTCTTTGAAATGTAGTCTTTTGTGAGGCTAGTGGCCTCCTCTGCCAAGTAGGAGGATGGCTCTGCCAGCCCGCTTGGTTTCTGTGCTGGCCACGGCAGAAAGGGTTTTGCTTTCTCCATGGCTGGCACAGAAACATAGTTGGTGGCATATGAAAGTGGAGCAGTCCATCTCTCCCTGCAACTGCTTGCACAGCTGGATGAAATCCCTTGCTTCCTATGGGGACTAGGCTAGTATTTACATTCAGGGCTGAACCGGGTTTTGTAGGTTTGCAAGTTGATGCGGAGCTTACCTGGTGGGTTGGTGGTGACCTGATGCCTGCAGGCAACCCTGTCCAAGGGTGCAAGGCCTGTTGCAGCAGCGCCAAGTGTATTGGCTGCCACCAGCGTGCTTAGAGCAAACGCAGACTCCTCTGTTCCCAAGTTCTCTTGATCTCTTAGGAATGACTGGCCAAGGATCCCACTGTGGTCCTTTGGGCTGGGCTTCTTTGCAGCCCTCTTGTGTCCTTCGGGGAGCACAACTGGCTTGCAGGTTGCAACCTGAGTGTTGAAACAGGTTGACCCAAAAATGTCACGGACATTTTACCCACAAAGCACTCAGTCCAGACTTTGGTGAAAACAGGGGGAAGATTTATTAAGGATTCAGGGAAAAGTACAGAATAATAAACAGGTTGGTCAGGTTCTGAGTGTACAGCAGTAAGTGATTTAAAGCGGCAAATCAGTTTTGACACACAGAGCAATAAGCTGTTAAAAGGAGCAGATCAGTGGCAAAGGACAAATGAAAAGAAAAAATCCCACCGAGCTGGCACAGTTCTGTGCTAAGCAGTCTACCCACATCTTTGCAGATCTGCCATGTCTGTTGTAAAGTTCTCTTGGTGCCTGTATTTGGTCTTCCCCACTTTTGTTGGGGAAAAAGCTACACCCTGGATGCCTGTAGCAGAGAAACCTTAGATGATCACTCCACATACAAAGAACTGGTGGATTCTTGAACACCCAAATTAGGGAACTGTGATAGTGCTTGCAGGGCAGGGGCCCATGAAATATAAGTAGGATCAGCAGATATTTGAATGAATGATAAAGGCATCTCTTGAATTTGGGCTGCCTTTCAATAAACTACAGATAAAGAATTCCAAAGCAAAGGCAAAAAGTTATGCTTGCCACTCTTCATAGAATATTTTTAATTGTCATTAAAATACTTGTCATTAAAGTAAAACTTTGTTGTACTTTAAAGGGTTTAAAATATCCTGGGATGCAAAGCTTTGCTCCTGATAAAAGAGGAGAAATATTATTGATGGATTTAAAAGAAGAAAACCCTCGACCGGTTGAGCTAAGAATTAGCCGTGGTTTTGAACTGGCATCTTTTAACCCTCATGGGATCAGCCTTTATGTTGGTGAAGGTAAGTAGACTTGCCCACATGAACGAGCTACAGAGTAAACAATTGACATAGCTACTGGATGTCCTCCAGTTCCCATGTTCTTAGGCTTGCAAATGGACTCAGTTGGACACCTTGGCGGGTGACCATGGTCGCAGAAATACAGGCACAGGAATAGCACTGTACTGGAGTTGTGTGTGTTTATAGGGTCAGCCATAATTTGGATTTTCTCCCTACCTTTGAAGCTAATGATTAATATGGAGGATGCAAGGGACTGTGACTTCTCATCCCTTCATCCTGTGCTGGCCCTGGAGTTCTGCTCATTACAGCATGTGTAAGAGGGAAGGTGGATTATAAATTAGGAGGAGGGACAGGTGGGAGAAGCGTGTTCTCAAGCTGAGGATGCTTCAGGGCTGGATCATAAGAATGAACGTCGACATGTCTAAGGGTGCAATCCTCTGCATGTTTGGACAAAAAGATATTCTATAACTCTTGGCATGGATGGCTGGGGAATATTAGGATTTGTAGGACTTCCGTATGTCTAAGTGAAGGAGTATGCCCCTAAAATTACATTTGCATTTGGTCTGTCATGCAGTTTGTTTGATCTCTGTTTACTATTTGTTTATGTCCAGTTAACTGATTTTCCAATCATAACTACATATTTTCTTAATTTGGATATGGAGTCTTGATTGTTTGACTTCGTAAGTTCAGTTTCCTCTAACAGGACAAACTGCTCTTTCATGCTGCAGGCGTGAAGGAAATGGAGGATGAACCAGGTTCACAGTGATGGGGGATTTTGGCTAGTAGGTGTTTTCACCCTAGCAATTTTTGAACATGCACAGAGCTTCCAGTCCTGGGCTTTTGGTTCAAAAGAAGCAGTGGCAGTGGAAGCTAAGCAATTGCTGCCCTTTGAGCAGTGCTTAAGGAGCCAGTTGTGGACCAATTGGAGTCATGATCCATTACACTGATGGCACCATAGCTTCTTTCACATGCATGGAATCCACACATGGGGCATAGGGCAAGGTTTTGGCTAGGGGTCCTGCACTGTGGCTGCAATCATCCTTATAACACGTGAAGGGAGGCTATCTTAGATCATATGAACAGAAGGTAAACTGTGGACCTGCCCTCTTATTCCATGTGGATTTCCATGTGGCAGCTGCTGAGGGGGAAAGCGTTCTTCTCCTATAGGACCCTCCACCTGTTATGATAGAAGGTCACACGTAAGACCTTGATTTTGCCATACAAGCTCTTGAAAGGGCAATTGTGTTCCATTGTGAGTTTAGTCAAACCCACTGGACTGTTTGCATTCCCTAGATGATGCTGTGTACCTCTTTGTCGTCAATCATCCACAGTACAAGTCAACAGTGGAACTATTTAAATTTGTGGAGGATGACAATTCTCTTGTGCACCTTAAAACTATTAAGCACGAGCTCCTGCCGAGGTATGTTATGGTGAGCCGTGTTTGAGCTTTGTATTTGGGGTGCGGAGGGGGAAGAACTTGCCCAGTGTACAGAATATAAGTTGGAAGAGGTGTTGGATGGTACAGTAAATGGCAGTTCGGGCCTTGGTCTGTTGACTGTTGGAAGAAGATGGTGGGAAATAGCTGGGTGGGAGTGGATATACAAGATCCACTTGTCTCCACGGCAGACTTCGTTTAGTATAAATTTGTTTTCATTGTTCGTGAAACAAGCACCATGTCTGCTGAGCAACTGTCAGTGAAATAACTAACCCGATTGGCACAGTTATCTACCTAGTAAGAATGAACAAAGGAAGATTGTGTCAATACATTATCAAGGGAATTCTTCCTCTGTTATTTTTGAGGAAGGCAGTTTGAACTATATTATGCTTTCTGCAAAATATACTGAACATCCATTGAATTCCTCTAGGATTGGATCCAGACTTAGTCAGGATTAACTTGAGTTCATTGATTTGAATGGGTTACTCCATGCATGGCAAAGTCTGGAACCAAACATAGTGTAAAGTTATAAATATTACTGTGTCTGAGCAAGAGAGAAAATTGTGTACAGCTTGTCTGACTGAAGTCATCCTTATTTTGATGCATCAGGCTGTGAAAACAATTGTGGAGACAGTGCAAATGAATATTACTGTATTTATAGAAAGCAGCCTCTGCAACAGCAATCACATATTCTTGCATTTACTCTTCACCTTTTGTCATAGTGTGAACGATATTGTGGCAGTAGGTCCTGACAGTTTCTTTGCCACCAACGATCATTATTTCACAGAGACCTTCTTGTTGTACTTGGAGATGTTCCTGGGTCTGACCTGGACAAATGTTGTTTACTACAGCCCAAAAGAAGTTAAAGAGGTGGCCACAGGATTTTATTTTGCCAATGGCATTAATATGTCGCCTGATGGAAGGTAAGTTTCTTAAAGATGGCATGGCTTAGATTGGACTCCCCCCGTGTCCTCCAGTTGTGCTAGATTTCAAGTTCCCATCGTCCCTAGCCAGAACGAGCAATGACCATGGTGGCTGGGAGTGATGGGATATTTAGTCTTACATATCTGGAAGGCATCAGGTAGGAAAAGGCTCATACTCCATGGATGTGAGAGTCAGCTTGGTGTGGTGGTTAAGAGTGCAGGACTGGGACTCAGACGATCTGGGTTCTAGTCCCCGCTCAGCCATGGAGCCAGCTAGGTGACTCTGGGCCAGCCACAGACTCTCAGCCCAGCCTACCTCAAGGATTGTTGTTGGGATAAGATTAAGAACAGGAGGAGGAGAATGATGCAAGCCAGCTTGAGTTCCTTGAAAGGAAAAAAAGGCAGGATATAAATACTGCTTCTATTACTACAGTAAAACCCCCAATTCTTCTGTTTCAGTTAGCACGGTTTCACTCAACCATGGCTGACCATGCTCTGAAAAGAAGATCCAACACACCAGAGTGTGGCCTGCTCTGGGGGAGCTTGTGCTGCATTGCATTGTGAGGCTTGCACAGGGCTGCATGTCCAGTCCCCAGTCTGGTGTCCGCCCCACCCTTGACAGGGGGTGGTGCACCATTCTGGGCCAGCTGTGGCCACTGGGGGCCACAGCAGTGCCATGCCATGGCTCTGATGGCAATGAGGCACCCACTTGGTGCTCTGAAGTAAGCAAGGCCAACAGGTGCTCCACCACGCCAGCTCCTTGTTGGCCTCACAAGGCTGCATGGGAACATTTGTCCAGTACCACTTTGGTAAGAAGCCCCAAGAGAAGTTCCAATAATTGCAGGCTCAGTATGGCCACAGCCTATCTTAGCTGTGCCAGCAGAAGAGTTTTCGATTTGTCCCAATATTAAATTATCCAGAGGTATTTTTAGAAATGCGTAAAGTAGCAAGGCATGCATTGGTCTTCCATTTACTTGAAGTATTACTATCTTCTGTTTGCTCTTTAGCATTGAAAACCCTGATTGCCAACCTAATGGGCCGTTTGTTCTCCTGAAATGTAGTAACTAAGGTGCTAATGTCATATTTGACATCCACCCCTTAAGTGTTAAAATGAGGTGATGCCTGACACTTGCTACCAGGGCTTGAACGCTCAGAAAATAAGGAGGAAAATTAAAAGAGAATAGGGAATGAGGTGTGAGAGCCACAGACATCGGACTCCCATCTACATTTTCCTGGAGGCACAAACAAATGCTGGACTCATGCAAATCCCTCTCATTCCCCATCCCCTCCCTTTGCTGTTGCATCTTTGTGCAAATTGTAGCTGGGATGATTTGGGATCTAACAGTGAACTGGAGAAGGAGGGAAGAGGGAGTGCGTGAGCCGGCAGTGTGTTTCCAGTCCTCTGTGTCATCCTTCTCCTAATGGGTGCCCTCCAGAGGTTTTGATTATCAGTGCCATCAGCCCTTGGACTTCCAAATCCATCAGCCCCAGCCAGGACAGTCAGTGGTCTGGAGTGTTGGCAGACCGCTGGAGTCATCAGGCTGGGGGAGGCTGCTCTATGCGGTGATTTAAAAACATGTCCCCCCCCCGTCCCCCCCGATAGCATCACTGCACTGGAACTGATATCCAGGGGATGACTTGGCGGCACCTCAGGATCATTGGCAAGTGCCAGAAGAATGTCTTAGAGTGTTTAGGGATTGGCTGGTATTACCTCTAGGGATAAATAGGCTCAGTTATCATAAGTAAACTAATGTCTATCTTAAGGATATTGTTGGAATTTAGGAGGTATATTAAAATACAGTATTTTTCCCAATCCTGTTCATGATTGGGTTTTTTTTTAAAGTGCACATATATGCACAAAGACATTAAAACACCATCCTAATCTACTATTACTTTTCAGCTTGAGTTCCTCTTATAAATGAATGCTTAGAAAGCACACTGTGTTCCAAGCCAAAGTTTCCAAAACTGATCAAAACTATTGATCAAAAATGTTGCTTTCTTTTATTCCAAGGTACGTCTATGTGGCTGATCTATTGGGTCAAAAGATCCATGTTTTTGAGAAACATGCCAACTTCACTTTAACACCTTTGAAGGTAAGCTTGAACCAGTTTTGGAACAGAGTGTAAACCCAGTATGTGCTGCATATCTTCACTGAAACATCTGTCTCCCAGATGCTCTCTTCTCCCTGCACTTGATATGATTATCTGTGTAAGAACGTGTATTTCCATCCCTAGTGCATTAATATGGTTGGTGCTTCCATTGTCTGTTGGTGTCAGTGAGAGGCTGGTGACATTTAAACTGCCACCATTTCAAAGCTGGACTGAGGTGACGAGCTGAGCTATAAGGCTCTTGGGATGCACCACCTTGTTTCTCAGCAAAATTTGGCTCTCCGCATTCTCATTCTGCTAGAAACTGGGAGCAAGATCCCCACCCACCCTGTTGCTCTGCAGAAACAGCAATTCTGCTGGGAAGTAAATAGGGCACACACGGTTTGTGCACCATGCTTCCCAGTGGAATCAAACTCTTGACATTTTGCTAAACAGCTGGGAATTCTCAGTTCCTCCGGGAAATGAGGCATGCGCTCCGTGTTATAAATGTTACACTAGAAAGATCAGTTCTCTGGCTCTGCAGAAGACGTTTTCCCGTGCTCTGACATCTAGACTTTTGTGGATAATTCTCAATAGAACTGCGATCCAGTTTAACTCCAGCAAATACCTCCCTCCTGTGGGCTTCAGAGGGAGAAATAAATGTGCATTGTCCAACAGAGATAGACGTTGTGGGGAAAATAGCATATTTCAGAATAGCATATGGCACTTCATGCTTGATCTCTACATTGCTTGGTTTCTTCTGACTGTTTTAGGAGTTGCAGTTGGATACTCTTCCTGATAACCTTTCCGTTGATCCTTACACTGGAGACATTTGGGCAGGCTGTCATCCCAATGGCATGAAACTGCTGCTTTATGATCCAGGGAACCTTCCTGGCTCGGAGGTTAGTAGGAATTATTTGTGCTGTGCAAGGGGGGGTGGGGTGATAAATGTCCTGGCAACTTTCTAAGCAGGACAAATAAGAGTGTACTATAGTTTATGAGTTCTTGCTAAGTTGATCCTGCCTTAAATTTGATGGGAGCTCCTGTCCACTCCTCCAGGTGCCACCACCCACTTTCTAGTCCCGTCTGTGGAATTGCTTTTCCACAGTGGAGATCTGCCTATCATCTTCTCTGTGTACATTCGGACTCCAAGTTAGAACTTCAGCAGGCATTTAATCTTCAATGTATTGGCCTGATTATTAGTTTTTGATTATTTTAAATATTTTAATACTTTAACAGTTTCATATTTTCAATATTGCAATCATTGCTTGATCACTTTCTTTTGGCTTTTTATGATTATAAATCACCCTGAGGTCACCTGCTAGTTGGCTGGTATATAGCAAATGAATGAGGATTGGTTCTTAATATATATATATTTTCAGGGCTTGTCTTAATGTGGACGTTGAAGTCCTGGCAGCCAGGTCCCTGAGGCTGTTAATAAATTGCATGTGTCCAGGGCCAGACTAGCCACTGTTAATCTTGGCTGTCTTTCAGGTGCTTCGCATCCAGGGCATCCTTTCTCAGAAGCCTGTGGTCACCCAGGTGTATGTTGATGATGGGTCTATAATTCAAGGGACCTCGGTGGCTACCGTGTATGGCAAGGACCTGCTTATTGGCACCGTATTTCACAGAGGTCTTCACTGTCCACTGTAGCTGGTTTGGAATGATCTTGTCTGAGTGGAAGAGGTCAACACCATCTGAGTCACACAGTTCTGAACTGGCTAACTTCAACCTCCATTGCAATAAAGATTAACCTGAGAATTCCTGGCCCATTTTTCCTCCTCCATAAGGAGGTAAAAGAAGAACTTTTATGACTGAGAAATGGAAAGCAGTGATACTGGAAGAAATGTGGGGGATTATAGTGCAGCCCAATTTCACACAGAGCCTCCAGTTATGCCCAGTGGCATAAAGAAGTGCATTTCTTTCCTTCTTTCTTTGGATTACTGTGACTCAGGTTGCATGGAGAAGGCGCTGCTTGTCCCAGTATCCCAGTGATACTAGGAGCATTCCACAAATGTTCACATTGTTTCTTTGGGGGGATTCTCAGCTGGTTGTGCATTCAGTGTTTTCTTTTACCATGTTTTCCATTTCCCTTTGTTTCCATTGTTAAGGAAAGCAGCTGTGCCTTACTGCATGTACAGATTTCTCAGCAGAAGCATAGCTGGTGCTTGCTTCTGCAGAGGCCTGAAGAAGTTGGCCCTGATCCAACAGATGTTGAGTCCCGTTTTCAACGTCAGTAATTGTACCCATCAGTGGTTCAGAAGGGAGTGGAGATGGGACTGAATCTGTTGCCAGATCAGGGCCTGAGTGATCCTTCGAGTGCCTGCAGAATGAGGAACACTTTTGCAGGTGCTTGCAGGGGGGAGCTGGGGAGCGGTGATGCAGTGCAGCTGGAGGCCCTGGTGACTAGCAGAAGAGGCATCCCTTCCCTGCTGCTCTTGCCACAGCAGCATGAGCTGTCCTGGTGACTACGCGTGATCTGGTTCCCTGCCTCACCTCACCATCCTCAGTCCTGGTTCCTGCCTCCTGCCCACTTGCCTTGCTTGTCTACCTCCTGCCTTGCTCCAGCCTCTTCCTGCTTCAGTCCTTGTCTCCAGCCTGACCCTGTATTCCCAGGAACCCAACCCATCCTCCCTGACCCTGCCTGACTCAGGATGTTTAGTCTTTCTGGGACTTGACCCTTGGACAGTGAAATCTTGGACTGTGTTGCTTGAATCTTTTGCCTTCCAGGCTTGACTTTGGACTGTTGCACAAACATGCCTCTCACTTCTGGCCCTCTGAACCTGCTGCAGGACTGTGCTTTGCACCTGTGCACTGGTCCCAGCGTACCTATCATAGGTGCCTGCTGCCCACACCTCAGACCTTACACCGGTCCCTTTCTTGAGAAGCTGATGGAATGCCCTGCAAGTGCAGCCCCAGAAGCAGAATCCAGGAGAAGAATCATGCACACAGCACCTGTTCACACACACCATTCCTCATTCATCCAGGGACAGGCCTATAGAATCCTTCTTATGACCCTTGAAGGGTCAGGACTGATGTGATCAACATTCTCTGTCCTTCTGAAAAGGACTGCTTTCTCCAGCCAAGAAGTACAGAGGGATGGTGTCCCAAGCACCTCTTCCGTACACAAGGAGAGGAGCAGATGTACCTCAGCAAGAGAGCACGTGGCTAGGCTGCCAAGGACCCTGGCATCTCCAGCTAACAGTGGGTAAAGGTCTCTTGCCTGCATCTTGGACAGCCAGTGACTGTTTGCGTTGTGGACTCACACTGACCTGGGTGGGCTAAGGCCCTGGTACAGAACCTCTTGCCTTCTAATGTTTCAGGGCAAGCATCACCAGAGAGCTTGGATAGGTCACAGTTCAGCACCGGGCTTGGCAAACATTTGCTCTACTGGCAGTTGCTCATTTAATACAATTGGTGACATCAAGCAGCGGTAATAGCTGGATAATGCCCCAAGGGTAAGGCTTTGGGTTCCCTTGCCAATTTTCTCCCTTTGCTTTGGCAGAGTCTGCGTGTCTAGATGTTTTTTTTACCCTGATTGCTTTTAAAGGGCAATGGCCTGGCCAAAGCCCAGGACAAGCCTTTTCATTTCTGCAACGTTATTCAAGGTATCCAATACAAGGTGCATTACTTATGCCAGAGAAATGTTCTTGCAACGTAACCTGGCTAACAGCCATATCCCTCAAGTGTGTGGCTCAAGGTAGCCGTCCCTTTAAGCAACAGCGAGAACCCATGATCCATTTCTCAGATGTTCCTTGCTGGTTGCAGGATTTCAGTCTTAGGACTTTGGGCTGTGTTTGCTGGGATGATGGGATTTGTAGTCCCACACATCTTGGGGAAGACTATCTTACACAGTGCACAAAGTCTGTGACAGCAGCTTGCTTCAGAAAGAGACAAAACCCTTGATTTTGCCTGAAAAAGTGGCTAAGTTTTAAACAGATTCTCCCTTTGTACTATCAGAGCTCCTGTGTGGTTGCCAGCATATTCATTTCTTATGCTTAAGCACTTTTCTCCCGTATACTTAACTCTGAGCAGGTGCAGATGACATGCAAGTCCACGTGCCACAACATCCACAGGTATTAACAAAACCAGGTGAGAAGCTTCCATTGTTACAGGTGGTGACTTTTCTTAGGGCAAGCAGCATCTTCAGGGGAGATTTTCATTCATCTTGTGACAGGAAAAAGGGCTAAACTCCTTTCCTCTGGATGAAAATTGGGTTCCCTCTGCCTGCTGTTAAATTTGAAAAAGAGATATTTAGTATTATGCCCAGAGTGGCCCCAACCCTGCTGGCAGAGGCATAATTCTGTGATAAAAATAATAAACCCTGTGATAAAAATAATAACCCAACAGCCAGAGATCTGTGGGCAGTTTACAACTGCATGTAAAATAAATTACATCATAAAGATTATAATACAAAAATTAAAAGCAAAATTTAAAAAGCTGCAATAGCTTACTCAAATCAGACCATAAGACTTGTTAAGCAGTTGAAAGCCAGTGTGGTGTAGTGTTTAGAAGTCTGGGACTCAAGACGATCTGGGTGCTAGTCCCCACTCAGCCATGGGGACAACTGGGTGACTTGGGACCAGGCACTAATTCTCAGCCCAGCCTAACTTCACAGGGTTGTTGTTGTGGGGGTAAGATTGAGATCAAGAGGAGGAGAACTATGTAAGTCTCTGAGTTCATGGGGGGGAGGGGAAGTGGGATATGACTCTAATAAATAAATATAAATAATGTTCTCTCAACTAAATAAATTCCCTGTCATAGAGGACAGTCTTAATCTGGGTCCAAAAAGCTATTAGAATTGGTGTCAACTGGGAAGTGTGGGTGGGGGGTGGGGAATGACCACTGGGAATGTCACATCTAGACCTGCTGGTATTACTATTAGAAGTATGGTAAATGTTGCTGTTTACTAGCCAGCTGTGACAAAGTGGATCTCCTAACTTATGTACATTAGTGGAAATTGGGGATTCCCAAGAATATGGATCTTTTCTCTGAAGAAAGTGTGCTTGAAAGCAAATAGCTATACCTCTAATTGTAGAAACCTCTCTGGAAATCCATTAATCAGAGGAATGTACCATGACAACCCCTTCTGATGCAGATTTCCTACATAATTAGCATGTGTATTTCCTTCCAGCAGGGGCAGACAACTTGGAGGTCTGCAATCCCCATCCGCCCTATACAATATAGCCAAGAGGGAGAGCCAGTGGGAGTTTTTACTCCAGATCTTTTGACCTACAATTTGTCCATTCCTGGTCCAACCTATGACTTGCCATCCACACTCTTCAGGAAGACTTGTCCTGGCAATCCTGCCTCTGGCAACAACAGCAGTCTTAGGGATTCATGGACACTAAAAAGATAGAGGTAGAAGATTTTTCACTGTATTTACTGAAAATATTTTTGTACCATTCTTCAAATAATAGATATTGACTAATGACATGGAGAAGACAATCATGTTAGGGAAAGTTGAAGGCATAAGAAGAAAAGGAAGACTAAATAAGAGATGGACTGACTCCATAAAGGAAGCCACAGCTTGGATTTTAGAACAGCTAAGCAGGGATGTTTTGGACTGGACATTTTGGAGGGCTTTCATTCATACGGTTGCCATATGTGCCTTCAGGTCATCTCTGTAACAGTGAACAATAAGTATAAGTAATATAGCATTTATGACTAACTTGTATCATAAAACATACAATAAAATATTGCAGTAATGAGGCAGCAGCAAAAGCAGTACAGCAAGCTAAAATATTTACAAAGTGGCAGAGAAAATACTCAGAGGGAAATAGTTCTTCATGCAGTACATAAAACCCTGGAATTCACTGCCAGGACAAATTTGTGGAGGAGGCAATATTGGCTCCTAACCTTGCTGGTCCTGTTCTGCCTCCATTTTCAGAGGTGGCGTGCCTGCATATACCACTTGCTGGGGAGCATGGGCAGGTGGACTAGGTGGATCATTGGTCTCATCCTGAATGGCCTTTTTAATGTTCTATCCTTGCGCTGAAACATTGGACTGCGGGCGTGAGGTGTCCCTCTTCAGGGAGAGCGTGTCCAAAGCGGTGTGCTGCCATCCCTGAAAAAGCTCCTCTCCTTTGCTTGTCCTGCTCTCTTTATAAAAAGACCTCTGAGTTGCTTTTGGACCAAGGAGGGCAACTGAGGGACCTCACAATTTAAAACCATAACATGAAGCAATGTATAGAGTAAGAAAAACTTGAAAACAGGTTGGAGTGAATACATTTGAATTTGTCATACCAAAGCCATGCAGAATAATCAACACTCTGGGACTCCACAGTGAGGGGCTAGCTGATAAACCCGAGACAAAAAGTTCGTTGCCATGGTGCTGCCACAGATGTCTGTCCTGTGCTTGCACCAGTCCAGCCCCTCTCGGTGCGGCAGTTCACAGATGGACCTCTTCCATGGCTGGCTTCATGAGGAACAAGGGGGGCTTTGAGGCACTACGCTGTTTAGACCTTTACCAGGCAAGAAGTAGCACCTTGAATTGTTTTCAGAAACGTCAGCCTGTCAAGGCACTTTGAGAAGACCTAGGACTTGCTTCCCTCCCACCCTGTTTTATTGGAACCAGCCAAGCCAGTGTTTCCAGGATGGAAAGGATATAAGGACTGCCTGCATCATCCCAAGCTTGATGCTGCATTGGGAGGGGGAGGGAGAAGAAACCATTGTCTCTCGGTAGCATTAATGCCCCTTCATAGTTGAACTGTGTGAAGAGGGTGCTGAGACACCTGGAAGGTCTCCATGCCCACTTCTCTGCTAGTAAATGGCTGGCCGTCTTCCACACTACCAGTGAATGTTCAGCTCCCAAAAGCATGGCCAGCAGATGGATGTCTGCAAACGTCTATCAGGCAGGGCCAGCCCAAGGTGCTTTGCCCACTCCACGCACCCAAATGGACTGAAGTCTACTGAATCTATAGGGGCAGCATCTTTCTTCAGCCTTATGTGAGGGCAGCTGGCCAGTTTAAGGGATCAGGACAGGCTGTGGGGCACACAGCTTTGCCTTCCAACAGGGGAACCGCAAAGACAATTGGAGCAGCTCTGCTCTTGTCCCCAGCATCTGCCATCTGAGCTGGTTGCCTCATGATCGAGCTGCCTCTGCTAGCAGGCACGATCCTCCCCTTCTTCATATATTTGGTAGCCACCCAAATATTGGGAGTGATCTTTTAATTACATGGTATTTGCACGTTAAGCTGGCCATACAAGCTAAGAAATGCTTGCAAAAATATGACTATTTTGCTGTCACAATTTATACAGGTGTTTATTCGAGATAAATGCATGCTGAGGAAATGAACCATATTTGTGTTTGCCAACAGAAATCAGGTCCCGACTAAGGAAGACTAAAACACAACTCAGTGTTCTAAATAAAACAGGCCTCTCTTTGTTGCTGTTGAATACTAAGGCTTCTTTTCTTTTAGCTTCTCAGGAGAAAAAACTGAATCAGCAAATTGGTTCTTTTTGCATGCAAGTAGCAGAGACTGCTTTTACTTAGTCTGCCTGCTGTAAGAGCAGGTTACTGTTTCCTTTTTCTTGTTTACACAGTGTAAGTTTTAGCTTTGAGTAGATAAAGCAAAGCTACTTGTGTCACACCGAAGTGTGCTGGGGGACTGTGTGGTTCTAAAAAGTTTTACTACAGGTGTTAAAATAGTTCTTCTAGATCATGAAACAATGTGCTCTAAATTTAATTGTATTCAAACAGTTTAAAATTTAAACTGCTTGCAGATGATCAGAGGGCTTATTAAGATTTTAACTTATCCTCTGCCTTAGGAAAAGAGGACTTCAAATGTGTTTATATTTTGGAATGTGTGGTGCATGCAAAGGCGATGTGCATGGAGTGTGGGGGGTTGGATTTCACATACAGCCTATGGGATAAATGCATATGTGTCCTGCTGCCTCTACATGCATGGACGTGTACATGCTTGAGGATGCTCTATTTTCAGTACGATTGGACAGATGCATTTTTGAAGTTGAGTAATGTAGAGCAGCATGATGGTGAAAAGCATAATTTATGTCCTACGAATCTCCAGTTAAAATCTCATTTGGACATAAACTTCCTAGCTTTACTGTATCTATTTTTTACAGCATTTCTACCCCGTCCTTAACAGCGTCTCAGGATGGCTTACAACATATGTCATATGTTAGTAACTAATCAATTACTGTATGATTATTGTCCTCTAATTTTCTAGTCATCGTGCAGTCTTTGTTCAGGCAGCAGTTGCACAGTGCATCCATGAAAGATGCTTTGGTGGGTGATGGATGCCCGCCTGGCCTGAGTGCTCTGCAGAGCCCGCTAGTAGCAGCCCCAGCCCCCGGCCTTCCGTGGTCAGCAGCTGGGTCTGCAACCCTCCAGTGTCACTGGGCATGCTGAAGCTTCATGGGAAATGAAGACGCCAGATTCCTGCCAGTCTTGGAGTTCTGCTTCTACAGCCAAGGAAGTCTGGGATTATCTGGTGCTCCCTCTGCTCCTGGCTCCAAAGCAGTGCACTTTGCCAGGGCTTTGCCAAACTTCGGAGCTGGTCGTGCATGGAAAGAGCACGTGCACCTTCCTCAGATCAACCTAAATACAGATCAGCCTAGCAGAGTTGTAGCTCAGGGGTGGGGGCAGCAATGCCTGGAGTTACACAGGTTGCAAGTTTTCAAATAAGAGGAAAAGAGAGGCAGACCAGATGGGAAGAGGATTATGGGAATGTCTGGCTCTGGGGCTGTATCACACTTCCCGGTGTTGCTCCCACTGCTATTGTCAGGAACGGTGAGAAGACACTTTTGCTGGGGGCCCTACAAACACAGAGCCATACCTGGATATAACTGTGCACAAACTCCTCCACGTATTCTTCCTGGCTGTGAAATAAATGCCCACTGGACCTGAGGTCCAGTTCCTGGCAAAGGCTGGCCTGAACCAGTTCGATGGCACTTTAAACCTATCAGTCTTCAGGGTCATCCCTCTAAAGTCCCTGTGGTTTTAAGCTTTGTGGCAGTGTACTAAATGCTACCTTTTAAAAGTCGAAATGAACCGAGTGGGCAATGTTGCCACACACTGGAGGCAGGCTGGCACGGGGTTTCTCTGCCTGAACGCACAGGTGTAGCTGCAAGGCAGCAGCGTTGCCAGAACGCTTTTTGAGAATTCTGGGAACTGCAGTATTGCATTATGGGAGCTGCTGCTCAGGCATTATCTCCAAGGCAGAGCTGTTCCTTGCCCCTCACTGCTGAAGAGGGACTTGATTGTGTTGAGGCCTGCCCAGGCTTTCCCCGTAACTGCAGCAAGACTGTGACTGCAAAAATAAAATAAAACACAATGTTATGCCCCTGTTGAAGGTTCAGGATTTATTTTATTGCATTCGTTGTCTAACAACAATAGTCATTGGCAATAAATTTATATACACTAACAAATTAATCACGATTTTAAAAAATCTGTAGGAATACAAAGGACAACTGGGGTTGTTGTTGTTTTATTTGAATGCTTCCAAGTAACTAAATGTAGAGAAATAGCATTTTCCTGGGAAGTTAATCATTTAAAGAAGGACAAATAAAGAAAGCGCACGCATACAAACTCAAGACAGGGCATTGCGGCATCTTCCATGCAAATGATTCAACACCTAGATGAACAAAATTAAAATACCAGGATTACATGCAGTTCGTACATTAAAACCCCCAGACACCGTTCCCCCATCCCTCCCCTTTGACAAGCAGTGGGTCACAGTGCACTTCTATCTTGCCGTAGCCATATGTAACAGCTACAATGCAATCCTATGCATGTTTAGACCTGAAAAAGGCCCTAGAATTCCCAGCATTCCCCAGTCAGCACAGTTATCTGGGGAATGCTGGGAGCTATAGGGCTTTTTTCTGTCCACATATGCTTAGGATTGTACTTTTATCTACCACTAATCGGTATTGCAGTATGAATGTAATTTTATTTATTTAGTTTTGACAAAAGCAGGACCTAAAGTGATGAAACTGTTAGGGACTTCAGTTTTACTACGCATTGTGTCATTGCCATTTAAAAAAGATTTTTTCGTGTTCATTTTGGTTTACTGGCATTTCACAGTTGGTGTTTGTTTTCTCCCCTTCCTTGTTTGGGTCTGTTTCGATTGTCCCGAGCCATCCTGCTTGTACCTAGTTTACTCAGCAGCAGCGGTCCTACTGAACCCAGAATACGCTTTGGCCTTGCAGCCAGGACTGACTCCAGTAGGCTTAAGGTGCAATGTCCATTCAAAGGTAATGATCATGGGGTCCACACTGGACCCACCTTCTTAAAGCCTCGTATCTGATAGCCCAAAGGCTCAGCTCCCCATCAGTGCTGCTATACATCAGTTGATTTTACCATGCAAGACTCTCTTCATCATATCACCTTTGTGTTGTGGGAGCTATTTTAGTGTAGCTTCTTTGTTGCATTGTTAAGGGAACATCGGAAGCCCGAGCCACATGGAGAGAACATACTGTGATTTCTTTCCATGACCAAATTGCTCCAGTATCTAGATGGGGAAGAGTTTCATGCAGTGAGGAGCTGCAGCGCAACTGTGCTGCTTTCATACAGCCCGGGTCTTCTAAGGGCTCCTTCACAGGCTTATGAAGATAACAAGGTGAAGGCCACTTGAAATATATGGAAAGAAACGGATGTTTCGTAACAATAGTGTTTGGTGGGTTCCCTTCCCAAAAACGTCCAGACAAAAGAAGTTGCCACGATCACAAAAAACAAACTTCAAGGTCTAAATTAGATGCATGCACCTTATAATCTAAGTCTACAAAGGTCTACTTTCTTTCTTGGTTGAGCATCTCTCTTCTTGTGCCCAGGACAATGCTGGACAACCCATTTTCATGGCTGTGGCACCACAGTTTTCCTAACAGACACCTTTCCAGTGTCACAAGAATCAAGAAAAATCAAGAAAAACCATCTACTGAAAGGACTGCCAAGTATGCAAATGTCCTACAATCGTATGTACTGATCAGCCAAGTCATTTTTGAAGTCGCAGTTCAGCTCAGTAAAAAAGCTAAGCAAAACTTTCCAACAGAATTCAAGCATACGGTTTACAAAATATCCAAAAGAAAAGTGGTTTCTTCTGAATACCAAACTTCTACTAAACTGATCCTGGCAAAAAAATCCAAAACATGCATAAACTCATCCAACACTGGAACAATATACATTTTGAGAAAACACTTCTTAAAAAAAATCTTGTGGTCCCATTACATGTGTTAATGTGTATGAAAGGTTATGTCCAGAATCAATTACACTCTGGACTTGTGGGGGAAGATAAATCCTTGAGTTGCTTAAATAGCGCCCTCTTGTGGGCCGCCTATCTATTTACAGCTGAAGCTGCACATGCTACATGGGCTTTTCTGAAATTGGAATGCTTGTATGCTAAAACACATCGGCACACAGGAACTCTACTGATTTTTTTTAACAGCTCACCTTTGAAAACTTTCTAGTTTCCAGAATAATCATTTTATTATTCTGATTCAATAAAAAATAATTTAAACAATCTCAAATCACTCATACTTTCACAACGCTTTGCTTCAATTGCTAGACATTTCCTTAATTTTGTAGAAACTTCCAAATGATGCCAGTGAATATAGCTTTTAGAAAACATCTCTTTAAAAAAAATACTTCAGTATTTTGGACAAAGACGCAAATTTTCTGAGCTTTCTAAAATACTTAGTAAAGAGATCAAAACAAACAAATGCTTTCTTTTCCTGAGGAACAGTGTGAAGTAATGTTTGCTGGGTTACAAATATTGAGAAATACAAGCTTTATTCCTGCATCAGAAAACATATTGGCTTCAATGCTGAATAAATGGAACTAATTCTGAATTAAACACATTCTAGCAGCTGTATGACTCAGTGGTCAATTTATGTGCTAAAGCATCCTGACAAATCATTTTTATGCATAGGAAAGAATTCAAGGAGTTAACCAAGATCTTGGGAGTGCAATGTGATGGAAGGAATCCTAAGCATCCAGCCTTAGCACTGAGCAAAAGCAATGGGCAGTCTCCATCTGTTAACACAAAAGTGATCATTCATCACCAACTTAGACCCTATTCCATGTACCTACACAACAGACCCATGTTTAAAATGCATGGCCCCTGTTGCTAAAGTTTTTTCTATTTAAGTGTAGGGCAATCAACTGTGCAAACTCTTTAAAAATGCTGCTTTTAAAGGAAACCCTAGTTAAATAGCAAACCAACATTTCTCTCTTTGGGTTTTTAGTTTCATAATTGTGTTTAACCAACTCTTGAATAGTGCAATGAAAAGAATAATGACAGTAACAGAGAAATATCTTCTGCTCTCATGTTTCTCAGTCATAAAAGGGGGGTGTCTACATGTGTGCAGGCCTAATTCATACTCCAAACAGCACGTGGACTTGCTCCACGTTTTCGTGGGCCACAAGCCCTTTTTGGTCTTCTCTGATCTCTCTGCAGGGTGTGTTTGGGATAACTCTTTCGCTACCTTCCTCACCAGTGGATGATATGAACAGGATGGGCCAGGTGGTGGTCAGGACTCTATGGTGCGCGCTCCCCTTGATCTGAGCCCACCGCATCAGAAGCCGTAGGCGCTACCTCTGACCTGCTTGGAAATCAGTGTGCTTAGCTTCTCCTCTACCCATATAGCCCAGCTCTGGACTGCCCTGCCCAAATGGTAGAGCTTGTGTTGGAAAGTCGGCTTGTCCTGACTTTGCTAAATGCCCAGCTTTGCCAGCCACTAGTACCAGCCATGACCGCACCATGTTCCGCACGTGCAAACTGGTGCTTTGTGAAGGTCTGGCTTGCAACCAAAATGCAGAACATTCCTTCAGGGGTTATAACACAGGTGAGAAGCTGTGCAAGAGCTCGTGCAAGAGAAGGAACAGAGAATGGCCCAGCTAGCAAAAGAGAAAAGCTTCAGCCCTGCATACTACATACACTTCCTACAATGTCTTCATCTACTCTGGGATGTTTCAGGATTGGTGATATAGGAGAAGGAAGAAGAAACGCTTCAGTCTGTACTTCCAGTTTAATGTATGGACTTATTCTGGTTGTCATTTAACAAAGGAAAAGGTGGCTTACAGTTGTATTTGTGTATATTCTGCCCCAAGAGGAATGGGAGAATTTTGGAAGGCCAAACATCTGTTCACTCTAAATTTGTCAGTGCCTAACCCTTCTTGGCTGCCTGTGCATCAATGGCTGTGTGGCAAGTGCAAGGTCAATAAAGATGTAACCTTATGCAAGTTTAGACAGAAGAAAGACTACAACTCCCAGCTATGCAGGCTGGAGCATGCTGTGAGTTGTAGGCCACTTTTCTGCCTCAACTTGTACAGGACTGCATCCTAAGCCTTTATACTCCATCAGTGGTGATACAGGATGGAAAAAAAGCAGTTGCTGGACAGAGCTTTCTTCAGGATTCCACTGCAACATTCACATCATGAACATTTTTCCTGACACCAGAAACCTATATCCTATTTCTTGTGAACAGAGGTTTAAGAATGACAGATCAGGAACATTCTTAGAAATATTTATGCTGCTGATATGCTAAAAATTTCACAAAAACGGGGGGAAGAAAAAGTAGCAGCAATACCAATATGTAAAATAGAACTAATTCCTTGCAAGAATGAGCAGAACTGTGCCCTTGCTTGGCCCATTCTCTTTCTGCATATACACATTCATCAATTTGCCTTTTATGCATTTCTTTAATAGACATGGCGGTTTTCCCCTCCCAGCATCATCCTTTTAACATTTGAACTCCTTTTACATTAACAAAAATGCATCAGGTTGAAATTCAGTGCTCTGTTTTAAAACTACCACCAAGTAATAAACTAAAAAAGAGAAGAGGATCATTACAGGACATAAACCAGTTATCTGCAGCATTAAAGCCCAATGCACACAGTTCTAAACAGCAGGAATGCAAAATCAATATACAACACAATACAACCCTCAGGGATCTTAGAAAAACAAAGGAACAAACATAAATAATGCAGAGCAGAGGCATGCCTCCAGAGATGTCACTAGTATATACATCCACTTTAAATGACCAGCATGTAAACATAACTTAAAAGAGAAAGTGAACATCTAACGCATTTACTAATTTCATAGTTCAAATAGTACATTTCCAGTTTCTCCCAGATAATCTTACTTTACCTAAATATTACTTCTCAATCTCTTAAACTAAACCAAAGAACACTAGTTGAACCTGGTCTCTGTTAGATTTTCTGTTGCAAAGAAACATTTTCTATCTAGCTGCAGCCGTTCTCCTTTTTTACTCTCTGGCACCAACTGGAAATGCTAGGACCTACCAGAATGACCCAGTTATCTAATACAGTGGCTTCTGTGGCAGAGCTCAGCAATTCTAGCTACAGGAACATGGAACTGCCCTGCGTATGTGGAGATGAGGACACAGCCATTGCTAAGTCGATGGGCCACAATTAGCAATGCATGTTAAAACAGCAAAGCCTTGCAGCTGAAATGAAAAACTGACCTCCCACAGCTAAGAAACTCGCCTGCAGCATTCCAGTTTTAAGTCCAGGTATCCTTTATAGCACATGTGGCTGCCAAGTATACAATAACAAATCTCTTTAAAAGCATTTGCCATTTGAACCCAACCTTTTCCCTGTTGAAACTTCTGTTCGTAGTTGTGTGAAATACAGCATCAAAGGCTAGTAAAAATGAATCATAGAACAGTTGTTTGGAACCAGCTCCAAAGTCATGTGTTTGCTGAATGTGTGAAAAGAGCGCTGAGGCTACTGCCTGTCATTTGGCAAAATACTGAAGGGTACAATCCATCCAACATTAACCATTTAAAAATTCCTGTTTATAAAAAGGGAGGGAAAAGTTAGCCATGTGGTTAAATTCCTCCCTGTAAAACTGATGCAATTTAAAAGTGCTAAAGGGCACAGTCCTGCAGTCTCCCAACATTGTCTGGAGGGCTACAGAATGGGCAGGAGTCCTCACTCTGACCTCACAGAGCCCACCCACCATCCATCTGCACGGATGCTGCCGACGCAACTGTTCCTACTCTGGACGCAATTCTTCCTTCTTTTCCTTCCCCAGCTCTGAAGCTGGAAGAGTATCTTGAGAACCAGCACAGAGAGGGAGAGTGTTGCAGAAGCAGAGAGAAATGAGCCACTGCCCTCATACAAAAGAATCCACTGGCAATTACCTCAGCTTCAACTCTTCCTGAGGAACGGAAAAACATTCAGATGGCTGAAATCAACCATCTACCTGCTTCGGAGGGTGAGGGAAGCAAGGAGGTAATCCTAGCCTGCCACCTTCCAGAATCCTTCAAATTAGGACAGCTGGCATCAGCCATGCTGGGTGGTGTTCTAACTGTGCCTAGACTGCAGCCTCGCTGTTTGAGTGTGATCTCTCCAAAACAAAATGGATCAGTATTGCATCCCCCAAATCTTTTAAAGGGAGCTTTTTGGAGAGGCGCTGCCTGGTTGCTCTGCTTAAGGAAAGTCTGGATTGCACTTTTATGAGCACTTAGCTTTTCCCTGCATCGTTCTCCAAACAAGACATTACAGTTTAAAATTCACATTGTCTCAATTGACTTCTCCTTCTTCTCCTCTTTTAAAAATGCTCTGGTTCACAGAAGAGCCTTTCCTTAGAAAGTCATAGTAAAAGTCAGTTTCCGCAGATCGGATTCTCACTCTCACACTTGTTGCTTTCCATTTCTGTCCCCTGCCCCACCAATGCTATGTGCTCAAAACAAACCCAGAGGTGGGGCCCATTCCTTACAAAAAAGAAAAAACCAAGGAAGTAGTTTTCTTTTGACTAGTGGCTGAAAAAAGGAGGCTCACAGAATACTACAGGAAAAGTGTAACAAAATGCCTGCCCCCAGGAGAACAGTACTTTAAATTCTAATACAAGCCAACTAGTATTAGAAATCTCACTCCTCTCACAGCTTTCCAGAGGGTAAATGTTACTCTCTAGTGCTGCCTAAGCAAGTTAAGTCTCTGCATCCTCTTTGAGCAAAACTGCTGAGAAATTTGCAGGGGATAAAAGAGGGCTGAGGGGAACAGTCTTTCTGTTAGATGAACAGAAAGGATACGGACTGAGTTGCTGCCTTCCATCTCCAGGGCGTCACTTCAAGTCTTGAGACCACGCTGTGCCGGAATGGTGCAGCATCACCTCTGAACACTGATGTGAATGCAAGCCCATTTCCAGAAGGAAAGACTGACACTTCAAAGCAGGCAGTTATTCTCATGAAATTCAAAGATAACTGGTATGTAGTTTACTCACTTCCACCAGTCCATTGAAGCTTCTTAGGTATTGCCCATTCCCAGGGGCAATTTTAACTTTAGAGTTTAGCAAGCTAGGTAATCCTGTGTCCTATTAATTCAGAAAAGGGCTAAAATAGCCAGCACAATGCAAATGAGGACAATTTGTGGAGGTGGACAGTGAGGTGGGTGGGGAAAAGCTCTCAGTGCTGGCCTCCAGTTGGCCAGCTGGTTTGCTAGGCCAGTCATGAGAAGATACAGTCATGGTTGGGGGTGGCTATTAAATGGGACAGAAGTACCACCGTGTTTATAACTGCAGTTAAAGTGTAAGTTACACTGTGTTCATTTTCCCATTTATTCTAGTTAAAGCCTTGGATAAGGATACAGAGCTCTGTGTAATGAAGACAAGGAAGATATTGGAAGGAAACAGTAATCACTTTGGGTTTCTCCCCTGAAAGATGTCTTCACATTCCTGATAGAATAATTAATTCTCATGCATCACTGCTCATTAGCACCCTCCGTTGGATCTGGGGATCGCTTCTCCAGCTTCCTGGACTTCCTCTGAAGCTGCTCTTTTTCTTTCTTCCTAAGTTTCTCCCTTTGCTTCTCCATCTTCTCTTGAGTTTTCCGAGCTCTCTCTATAGATGCTTTCATTTCTTTAATTTTCTTTTTAATGATAGCTCTGTCCTGGGAAGATGTCATACCAAGAGCCTAATATTAAACAACAAAACAAAACCAAATAGCAGTGGTTTATTTCATGGCCTGACTGCAATGCCTTCTAAAGACAACACAGAGTATAATCATAAGCAACCAATACCCTCTCCCAGTCCCTCCAAAGCAACCCAGTCCACTGGAAATGGGAAACTTAATCGCATTGATTTTGGTATACAATCTAGTACAGCCTTCCAGTTTTCTGAAACGAACACTGGTCTCTATAAATTACCTTCCTCTTGTTACTCATCAGCAAGGCTGGTTTAAGTTAGCCCTGCCCATTCGAGCTCCTGTCTCCTCATGAGCTATTAAAGGTGACTTTGGACCCTCATTTGCCAGGGGGACTGGGGTGCTCCATACCAACAGGAATACTGAGTCAGGGTGCCAGGTGTGCAAAAGACAGAGGTTGAGTGTTGTGAGGCTGATCACACGTAGTTCAAAAATACTAGTAGGAGCGGTGTGGGAAGAGCAACTATCAAGTTTCCACAGGAAGGGTTGCTGCAAAGTACAAGTGCAGCTTTTATGAGATATGTCCAAGTTGCAGAGGGTATGCTAACACCTGACTGTACATGTATGTCAGCCTTTCCCAATCTGTCCCCCAACAGATGAGTTAGATTACAAGTAGGGCAACACAACTAGAGGGCACCAGGGCTAGGAAGATCTCTTTAGATACTGTTGTTTGGTAAAGTAGTTTCAGCTTGTTCAGTTCAAGAGGCATTGCTCTCATCCCCTGTATGTACATAAGGGAAGGAGAAAATGCATGCAAATACATGTCTTTATAGAGACATGTACTATGTATCTTTATATCTGGAGTAAAGAACACATCTCCTCTTTAGAAAAAAAATCTTATTCCTTTAAAGTAAAATCCATCTGTAACAATAACACACATATATAACTTTACAGCTATGTCATCCCAGTTCAAAGTTAGCCATGGCAACTGCCTTGGGACTTTCATTGCACTAATCAGACAAATACCCTTTTAACAATATAAATATGCACAGCCAGCCATACTGCATAAGACAAAGTAAGATTCAAAAGAACCTAATTATTGGACCAGAGATACAATAGACATGAAGTAGCCCACCTCCTTTATTTGCTGGCATTGTTCTCTTCCCCATTAAAACATCTATGATATAGAAGAAATTATGCTTTGTATATTAAAATTGTCCATTAATTTTTAACATCTAGCACGGTATACCCAGGTATTGTTTTGCAGAGATAATGATGTATTTAGAGTTCCGACTGTTATTATATCAGCTGTGTAATCAAAATTTCCAGCAATCTGCACTACCTCTATTATTCATTATTGCGACCGTGCTGTTCCTCTGTGGTGTAAAGATGTTTATTTTTATGCATTCAAGAAGAGTATTTCCCATAATAGATCTCCTGGTGACAAACAAAATTCTGAATCTTATTTCCAACACAGACAAGCAATTACTTTAAGTTTAGTGCCATCCAGCTGCAGCAGACGTTCGCCATTTATGCTTTGGGTACTGAATTCGGGAACACACTGTTCTAAATTCAGACTACCTCTATTATTCATTATTGCGACCGTGCTGTTCCTCTGTGGTGTAAAGATGTTTATTTTTATGCATTCAAGAAGAGTATTTCCCATAATAGATCTCCTGGTGACAAACAAAATTCTGAATCTTATTTCCAACACAGACAAGCAATTACTTTAAGTTTAGTGCCATCCAGCTGCAGCAGACGTTCGCCATTTATGCTTTGGGTACTGAATTCGGGAACACACTGTTCTAAATTCAGACTCATTAACCAGTTTGACACTTGCTGCACACTCCACTCCTGAACACCACTGCTGGGAGACTGGCTGTGCTTGGGAGACTGTCCATCGTCAAGAATCTGTAACAAAGATATTTCATTTGTCAAGATGACAGCAAGTCATGATGCTATAGCAGCTTTACAGAAATACATTTTCCTACTGTTTCAACAGAATATAATAATATGCACAGGGTCACAACATGGGCTTGCTGGTTCAGTTCCAGTCTCTCGAGCGCAACAGACTGAAAGCATACTTTCATAGGTTTCCTATGGTTTTCCCAACGAAGGAGGTTTCAGCTGCTTTAAATTGTGCTTGGAAATGCCCTTTTAGTGTTGAGAGTTGACGTTACTGAGTGGTGATTTAGTTCGAGTACATAGGGCATAGTGAAGATCTCATCTGAACACACCTTCTCATGGTGAGAAATGATATTCACTGTATCACAGAGTCCACCCTGAAGTGGTACGTGGCCAGGTCGCACCATACAGGAAGATGCATTTTAGTGATGTGCCATATTGTACAGCACAATAGTGAATGTCACATTTCAAAGAACGGCACATGCCAAGCAGGAATGAGAATTTCTGTTTGTAACATGACGGTTGGAGGCAGGTAGTGGGAACCTCAGCTGGAAGGGACAGTGCCCACAGTATGTGATAATGTCAGTGAGCATCACATGCTGTTGCTGGATCTGGAAGTTGCACAACGCAATCCTAACGAGTGCTGATTGCTAGGCTCATGCCTCCTGAGTTTGTATGATCTCCTATTAAAAGCCTGCTCAGCTAGTGGCCATCACCGTATTTTGTAAGGGTAAATACCAATTATGCTTATTGTGAAGAATGACTTTTCTTTCACCTGATGTACTTCTACTGCCAATTAAGTCATCTAACTGTGGCTTAGAAAAGAATTTCTCAACTGAAAGAGCTTTTTAATGAAAAGAAATTTCTTGCACAGGGGAGACTCACCCCAAGCATCTACTGCATAAAAGCAAATCTTTAGCAAAAAAGAGAAAGGAATATGTATACTACTGTTGTACAAACCCCTGTAGAATAGTTTAACCCATGTCTGTTCTGCATTCGTTTGGTAGCCAGGCTTGTTAAAGTCCTCTTCTAGGGCTTTAAAATATTCTGAGGCTCCAGTTTGTTCAAGTTTTTATTCATTTATCTCTGGTATGATTCGTTTTTTTGTAACTATATTTTATGGCTTCTATTATATTTTATTATTTTTATTAAACTTCCATATACAAGACAGCATAAAAATACCATTAATGAATAATAAATAAACAAACAGCTCACTATGTAATAAAGTGACAAAAAAAAGTTCAGTTTTGTCTCACCTCATCATCAATCATATCCAAGCTCTGAGAAAGTCAGCAATAAAGAAATGGAAAGAAAACATCATAGGCAGAAGACATAAAGCGACTGAAATAGTCAAGGTGAACACTAGAACTCCAGTGACAACAATGGACACAAGTATAAATGTTCCCTTTAGGGCCCAATAAGAATAATTGACCATCAAGTCCTAGGTCCTTGGGCATGCCAATCAACAGGGTTTTCTTGTGCATGATTATTAATTACCTATGGAATAAAGAGACCTTGATGGTTCCAATGGCTGAAACAATTAACTGACCTACAGAAATATGTAACTGACCTCTTGTGAGTTCAGTAAGGGTGGAATTTTGGGACTGGGAGGTCACTTCTTTTCAGCCTTAGAAGAGCACAAGAGGCTAAGGAAGGCTACAACCCCTAAATCAACCTAGACTCCCACCCATTCCCCCGGTTCCTTTTTGACTACCTCCATGCCTAGATCAGGAAGTGCTTCTCTCCTCAACTTAAGTATTTTCTCAGTATTTATTACCCTTTTCTCTCTACCACTTTCTACTCCTTGCCCCCCTGCTCAGGCACCATCTCTCCTTGGACTTTGTTTTCACTCTTCACTTGCAAAATCAAAAAACCAAAACAAAACCTTGTGCACAAGGTTATGATTGTGTCACTTCACTGTGTCCTGGCAGTATTTGTCTTTATCATTGCTCTGATCTTTGACTCAAAATGCACAAGACCATAATAATAATAGCAGCAGCAGCAGCAAGAAGAATTCATGCCTGATCTGACCACCTTCAGAGGCAGTGCAAAGTTGGGCAGCAGTACAAAATGGGTCTTCTTGGTGGCTGTTTCCAGGATATGGAACTTGCTGCTGAAGGAGGCTAAGTTGGCTCCCTCTACGCTGTTTCTTCACTGGGAAAGAGGTTTCCATTCAAGCAGACCTTCAGCGCATAAACTGGTCTGCTGGCATGGGCTCCATTTTTACTTCTATAATTTTTGTGTGTTTTCTCAAGTTATATCCAGCAAAAAGCTGCTCCGTCTATTAACTAGTCCACAGGAGAGGATGGAAGGTATTTCCTGCTATATAAATAGCCCAAGGGTAACATACCTCATCAGATGACAGTGCTATGGAGTGCGAAAATCCTGGGGTTTTTGGTTCTGTCCCTAAACCACTGAGATCAGCTGAACTAGTGCTGCTTGGACTGAAGTCATCGTTGAAAGTGAAATTCTGTATGAGAATTAAAAAAAAAAATCCACATCAATCTAAAGAATAGAGAATAAGTCTAAAAGTCAGAGGAGAGCTGGAGTTACCCCACTGAGAAGGCATAGTTGAGTTATTATTGAAAACATTCATTTAAGGCTGGGGAGCACAGTATGAAATCACAAAGGCAGGGAATCTATTATGGACCTGAATGGAGCAAACAGAGCAAATGCATGAGGTGAGTGCTCCAGGTCCCCTTTCAACATCCTCAACTCATGGAGTGTGTCTGTCCAACAGGGAGAGCCCCCCAGAGCAGCGGATCAGCATTCTTGCCCACCTGGCGCGCCTCCGCAGACACAGGATGGCCCCTTTCCCAGACAGTCGCGCTTCATGAGTTGATGGTCACAGGGCAATGGCAGACAAGGCCGCGGCTGCAGCATAACCTCTTCTCGTGCATTTTCTCTGTTCAGGTGAAGAATGCTTGCACGGGGCAGAGGTGTTCTTGGCTTTGGTGCTTTCGTGCATGTTTTAAAAAGGAAGTGCAACATCCTTTTTATGTGCCAACTGTGCAGTTGGTGTACTTCTGGATGGGTGTTGCGGATAGTGTGTGTGTATGCATGTATGAGAGAATGAGAGAAAAGTGACCCTTTGAATGAGGTGGTGGTTATTTATTCATTTACTTATTTAGAATATTTATATGCTGTCCTTTCGCAAAAGCCTCAGGATGGCTTACATAAGTAAAAAATAATAATAATATAAAATGTAATACAAATAAATTCCAGATCCACCTTGGCTGCAGATTAAAACATATATAGCCAATATTAAAAGTTAAAGGTTCGTTGGCTTACCACTGCCAGGGGTTGATTTTGTCTCTTTTAAATTTTAGATCCATTGTTAATTTTACCAAGGCCATTGGGCCCAAGTGATAGCCTGAAAGTACTGGCTACTGCCTTGGATTAAATTATGTGAGACTTAAGAGAGAGAAATCATGCTTCTTTCCCACCATCAATGGTGAATCCACCTGCCCCCAAAAACCCTTAGGACTGCCCCTCCAGGTCCCCTGCCACATCATTTCAAATTGAGAAAGTATCTCCCTATTTATGACTTTTGAATAGGTCAATGGTGCATGTGTGCATGCATGGGGGTGCATTTTCATTCAGAGGGACCACAGAGCCTGGGCCAATCTCTATAAGCTGCATGAACTAGCAGTTGCCAAAATGGGTGGATGCATTAACAGATATGAAATACATGGGTGGGAATGCCTAAAGGGGTAGTCCCAGCCCCCAAATAAAAGTTTCTCATATTTACCCCCATTTTGGCATACTTTGCAGTGAATGGAGTGAAAGTTAGTCTGGATGCTTCCCATGGAAAATCTGTCTTTAATACCCAGCATGTGCTACTTTTCTGCCCTGTGGTTTCAGCATTTACCAAAACTGCAGCATGCCTTTTGTATCCTTGCATTTAGGAATTGCAAGTGCAAACCAAATTTGTATTGGCATGCAGTTCCAAATATGCATTCCCTATCTTTAACCCACCTCAGCTTGTTTAAGAGTTTTCACATCTAGCTTTGAATAATAATTAAATCAGATGGAATTGGGCAGAAGTAGGATTTAGAATAACAGTCTGAATCAGCAGAACTAAAGGATTCATGGTGAAAATAGCATCCTTGACCACAGTAAACCTCAAAAATGTGTGATTTATGCAACATACGGAAGGTTTCCATTAGTAAAGGCTGCTACTTGACCATATAATTTAATCATCAAAAAAAAAATCTTTCCCCAATTAGAAAGGAAGAACATCTTGGAGTTAGTACTAGAGATTCACAGTTTTTTCTGACAGTAATCTTATATATTATCAGGCAGTTTAATCTAGACCCCATATTTTGTGCTGTGACTCCATTGATCAAGTGAGAGACAAGAAATACTTTATGGCTGAAAGAAGAGGCTCAAAACAGACGTGCTGCCCCTTCTAAGTGCAATGAACAAAACATTACATTTTATAGCAAGGATGAACAAAGGAGCAAGTTCCCAGCAGAGTAATTTGGGACACACACATTTGATGAAATTTGTCTTAATTGCCATTAGAGGAATTCTGCAATGGCATACATCACACTTGAAACACAGTTAGACAAACAGAAAACCCCAAAGATCAAGATATTCCTGAAACATTTGAGGTCCATTAAAAACAAACAAGCCACATACTATTAAAAACTATGGGCATGTCAACAGTACATAAACACAAGTTGCTTTGAAGATGAAATTTAAAAAGAAAACTGAAAAAGAAAAGTATTCAGACATTAAACTTATTTAATAGCACATTACCCACACATTTGTGGGCAATATTTGTGGCTAAAATGCAAAGGAGAATTTTGATGTTAGTTTCTATCAATAATTGCTGAACTTTACACAATATCCCATGTTGTGGCATTTGTAAAAATCCAAGGAACATAATTAAGTCATGATGCTTTCACTTTTCCAGGAGGTTCCTTTAAATGAAGCATATTTAGATCAGCACCTGTGTATGTCCTGAAATGTCCAACACCAGGCAGCAGGCCAGACTTCCTGTGATGCAGGATGGTATCCAACAGCATTCACATCTTTTACTGAAATGAGGCAGCCTTGCAAATTGAGAGGGAGGGAGAAGTGCCAATTTCCTTAGCTATTGGTGGATGAGGTTCTTAACCATTTCTGTAGGTGTTTTTTTTTAATGTATGGAGGACAAAGCTATCAAAAGCTACGAGTCATGACAACTGTTTATTCTCCCCAGTATCAGAGGCAGTATGGCTCTGAATATCAGCTGCTGGGAAACACAAGCAGGAGGGCGCTACTGCATTCATTTTCTATTTGTGGGTTTCCAAAGAAGCTTCCATTTGCCATGGAAACCAGAGCAGAGCAGCCTTTGGTTTGATCCACCAGGACTCTTACTGTTTGCTTGCTCCCATGCCTCTTTATCATTCCCTCAAGTTGTTCCCAGACATGTGCCTCTATTCCATCCATCCTCACTAGGTAACACCAGCAAGAATACTTTCAGGCGGAGCTTTTATTGCACCATCACCCTGCTCCATTCCCATAACTGAGGCAGTGGTCCAGGTGTTATTATCTTCTACTTGTACCCATGCCGTATTTTTCCATTGTGCAGAACATTTGTTAAAGAAGAAAAGACAGAACAGCTGCACAATGCCTTCTACTTGGTAACTCTAGCAGTCCACCATAGGGATTCCCAGATCAAGAAAACAACCTGGGTCAATGCTTTGCCCTTACCCAAACAAATTGGCAACTCTTCCTGAAGCTGCGTTTGAGCAAAAGATGAAATCTATTTGCTTTCCCTATTATTTCCCTCCCCGGGCCTTTAAGTTCTGGAATTGTCTAAGTTTTCCTTTTTCACATAGACCTGAAAAATAGAAGATTTGGTGGTGTATCTGTATTGCTAACTTAAGGAGGTCAAAGAAACACAATGTAAGTTTGGAAACTTGAACTTTCCTGTAATGCTATCTACTTAATTGTACGGAATTAAAAACAATATCCCCTACCCCATTAATGCAATGAAAGACTTGCCTACATTGCTAATAATAATTTTGCCAGGAAATGAAAGCAGCAGAGCAAGGGAAAAGGCAAGGACAGACAGAAAGAATGTAATCAGCATACAGTAAATATGATGTCTGAGTGGTTTCATCTCGGCTGCAGTACTTGACCTTCTTCAAAGCTATGCAACATAAATAATAGTGCCAACCATACTTTGAACTAGCTGTGGTAAACATATAATTTAAACAATTTCAGTTTAAGAAGCTGCAAGGTTTTAATGTCCCAAGCCACCAAGGTTTACAGAATAAAATGTCTGATATGTTTCCAAAACCCAGTCATATCAATGAAATCAAGATCTGAAAGTATTTGCACAAAGAGACAAAATAATCCATTTACCCAGTAAGCTTTTTATGTTTCACAAAACAAGATGGCATTTTAATCTATCATTTTGTTTTTATCTGTTATTTGTCTTTTAAATTGAGTTTAAGTGCTGCTTTATTCCAACAGTGTTCTTTTATATTTATTGCCTTGGACATAAACTGTAAACATAGAATAAGGCTGCTGCAGTTCTGACCTCCTTGATAGAATTGCTACAGGTTGATTCTATTGGCTATTTCCAGGGAAAAAAACCCAGCGCATACACTTAAATGTCCATTTTATATATTGCAAAAATGACAAACAGTTCAGAGGTGGGGTACAACGATGAAAGGCGAAATGCCAAGGAAACTGTAAATGCCATGCGTAAACTCTACTCTGCACAAATCTTAACAGAGATGGAAAACATGAAACAGGGTTCAATTTCAATTGGCTTCTGCCACATGTTACCTGAGGCATGATTATAGAGCATGACAATCAGAGCTATTTCACTTTCATTTTCACCTTCATATAGGTCATGAGATGCTCATGGACTGATACACAGAAATGAAAACAACTAATACATAAAGCATGTCACTCTACTGTACAAATACTACCTGAGAGATTCCACGGTGGATGCAACATGCACGTACAAATAAATAAGGCCAACACGTATTGGAAGTAATTCTATTTTTCTTAGTTCAAAGAACTTCAAAATGGAATTAAACATAATATCATAATAAGACACATGATGGGAGCAGCTTGATGTCAGAAGCAGGAGTATGACCAAAAACTGATGTAACACTGACATTTAAAAAATTGCCAATATTTCATTCGGATTTGGTAAACTTGATCAAGTTAGGCTGGCATTAAAGCAACCAATGTGTAGGGGACAAAATACTTACTTGCACGGTCCCCATTTACTATATGATCTTGTGTTTATAGAGTGGGAACTAGAAAATAAAAAAAAGTATCTTTTTAAATACTATTAAGGGAGTGAAGCTTGGAAAAAGGTTCCAGCCAAACACCAGGTTGCAGAGGTAACTATTGAAATTGTTGGAAACTACCAAGCCCCTTCACATTTATATTTATTATGTTTAGATCCCACTTTTAGTAGTGGAACTCAAGGCAGCATAAAGAGGGTTCCTAGAA